CTCAACTATATATCTCCGGGCCAGTACAAGTTATCTACCTATGATCTGATGGATGGCCACAAGAGTTGCCGCGTAGAAGATGCCGTCTTATTGCGGACAGTTCACACGCGTGGTAATTCTACCTTTCACCAACTAACCCAGCAATGTACACTAATCAAATATCTATATGAACATTTAGACCTGATAAGATGGCATACTAATACAACAGGCCTAAAACGTAGCCCCTTTCGATTATACTTCTCTACCTAGTAAATTTCGCCATGCGCTAGGAGGTACCTATAGGACTGGGAGTCTTACATAATATTCACAGATTAAAAGGGGTATTGAATAAAGTACCTATCGATTCACTTCATTCGTATGACCCAGGCATTTAATCCCTTCGAAATGATTAAGGGGAATTTTATACATGCTCATGCAATTGTGAGTATAGATCAAATAAAACAATGACTTCTTAGCCTAGGTACACAACTGTGAAACTATTACGAGTGAGGATATGTCATGGTCTCTTATCTGCTATGTAGAGGTAAAACTTGGGTATCTAGTCAGAACTTCTAATAAGCGTTACACAGGCTTAATCACTAATGAATCAGTGAAGTTGAAACATCATCGAGGAGACCAGTCATTGGGTTGTGTTGCCTTTCGAATCGTCTCGTCTATTTAAACATGTCCTGAAACCCACCAACCGCTTAACTTTATCCCCTTCAACCTACATCTCTCGTCTCTTTCAATACTATCGTGGTCAGTACGCCAGGCACTCAACTTGACGATTTATTAATCCTATTTCTTGCTTCGGATAACAATGGGCAACAACAGCAAGGGTAAACGCAAAGAGCAGAATTATCGTCCAAATCGGGTGCGTATTGAACTAGACGACAAGGGCCGAGTAGCGGACGGACAATTCGATCCTCATGATCCCGAATATATACAAAGACTTGTAGCAGATCATAGAGCCCGTTATTTTTCTGGAGATGCCCAAGTCAGTTCCCAAGTTAGTTCAGCTCCGCGGCGTAGTCGAGACCCTGGTCCATACGGCAGTAGCCAAGCGGCATACAACGCAAGCCTCCAACGACCTGCAGCCGAAGTATCCCCTGAGAGGCGTGAGCTTCACTCTCGAGTAACGGACTGGATGCAAACACCAAAGTAAAAAGAAAAGCCAACCCTCGTTTAATAAGTATTTAGAACTAACAAATCGATAGCTTTCCTGGCCCGGCTACTCCTATGGGGCAGCAACAACAACAACAGCAGCAACAGTATGCATCTTACTCGAATGCTACCGCTGGATATGTCGCAGGATCCAGTACCACAGCTGCGTGGCCTACAGACCCAAACGCGGTGGCCCCAAGCGACGTAGCTAGCTATTACAACAGAAGCGGTTACCCGAGCAGAGAAACCAGCCCCCCGTACAACCCTCAGGACGCCACAGACCACACAGACCAGCATCAGCATACGGGCTCCGATACTTACGCGAGGGAGAGACGGAGGCGAGAGGACCGTCAGAATCAGGTGTATCTGTACGAAGACCCGAGACAGCGCCGTAGGGAGCAAGAAAGAGATAGGAGAAATGAGAAGCGGCATGGGAAGGAAAGAGCCCATTAAGTGATATTGCTAGATATTACGTTCCGGTATTTTTTTTAGCTCTTTAGGAGCTGACAAGGTGGCAATGGAAGCCACCTCCACATTATCTGAGTTAGCGGTGATTTTTTATTAGCTTTTAGTTGGCCAGTATTAATATCAATAATTACCTAAGGTAATATTAACACATAAAGGGATAGCCAAAGGCGCTTGCTGCGAGGATGTATGTCTTTCTCCCATTTGCCTACATGTTTTCTTTAATCCGCCTAGGGCGTCTTAGGCAAGGACTACCTTCTAAGACGTTAGGGATAGTTACTAACTGTTGATGTGTTGGTTTTGCCTGTCAGAATATGATCTTTCTAAAGTAGTTCGAAGGAAATGCATAATAACCTCCTGAGAACTCCCCACAATACGAGCGGCCCTCTTTTCATTTATTCTAGTTTGATAGTTGTTCTTTAGGGGTTACTACCCCCTAGTAGTTTGCTCTGCGGCGTATATCATCCGTCAATAATTGCGATAACTTTTTCACATGTGTTGCGTCATGAAATGGAGCCAAGTATCTGGGTGGGTGGGTATGATAACAAAAAGTAATGGCTTGTAATAACTACTTCAACGGCCCTGTTCGTAAGTATTGGCCGTGGCTTAGGAGAGGCGAAGACTCAGTGTTAAGATGAATGGTAAGCTCCTGAATCCGCGGAATACATACCCCTTTTCATGGACGACTCTAGAACGAGTAATAGGTACTTGGGTAATAAGAGAGATGGATTAGAGGACTAGTTTACGTAAAAATAAGGACTCTATGTATGATGGAGAACCCAAAAATTAAAATAAAATATATTATTTTGCTGCAATGAATTATTTCTTAACTGGAGTTTATTTACATCGGACCGCCAATCCGTTATTTGAAGGATGTACGTGTTGCTGCTCATACGTAATGCTACGTAGATCCCTGGCCCATAAAGACATTTAGATAATAACTCTTAGCTATGCCGGTGATTTAGTTCGAGTTAGGTTTACGACTGTTCTTGTTTCAACATAGTCGAGTTCTCATTTCTTGACCACAGCCTCACAACTAAATCAATTATGTCCACTCTTAATAGATTTCGGGTTGAAATATTAAAAAACGTAACTTCTTTTCGTTAAAGCTAGACAAAAGATCCCTGTCTGGAACAATCTGCAGATCGATCTAATATTTTATAAGTCTATCCCGAACTCAAAACTCTGGGCTTTGGGTATGAATACGGCACATTCTATCCTGATCATATTAGAGCTCCACTTAAGTAATGTGACGGTTTCCGTTATGGCTCGAGAGATTCGAGTGTGTTTCTACTGTTGGTAGGCTGTGTAAAGAAGTTGACGGAAGTTGAGATAGTGTTCAGACTATAACACTCCCGTGGATGCGTGGCTTTCCCTGTTAAAGGGTTGTTTTAAAATCTCTCTTCATCGGGGAAACTCCACAGTTTTTGTCAATCCAATCTGCCAATGGCGGAAACTGGGGATTTAGACCCACATTTTATAACTTACCTAACCTGACCCATAAATTTAGCTTTTGTTCCTGCGTTTCTTGGGACGGAGTAACCTGTCTCCGACTTATATATATTTTCAATGCGAAGTACACTAGAAAGCATCGGCTTACGCTATAAAGACATTTGGTTACGAATATAGGGTTATCTCTGGTGGTTCCTTTTGTATATAGCTTGGAGTTTCTAAAGAATAACGGCTTTTTGCTCGTAAATATTGCTGATTTCGAAACAATTGGCTGATGCGTAGAAGGATCACTGTCGAAATTACTCCAGGTACGTACTGCTTACTACCCCCACCACGACAGCCAGGGATAGAACGCTAGATATGCACATCAGTTCAGAAGCGAAAGTCGCAGGCTAAGTGTTGTACGACCTTATATTTCTTCAAGGTATAGGCATTAAATAAACTACCGAACTCTAAAGTTTAAATAATAATACTATATGTTTAGCTTAACCTGTCAAAATAACTTGTTAATATTTATTTAGTTTTGACTAACTAATTATATCTTAGTTATACAGTCTCGCAAGATACGTACAAGAAGATGGCGTTTTACGGATCTGTACGAACAGCTAGAACAAGTAGGTCTCGTATTCAAATGGGCAGCTCTTATTTGTACCTGACAAGGTCGCGGGGCTGTGCGACCCACCTTTGTTTGCGATTAGTTTGCACTGCCTCTTCAAGGAGACATGGATTTTAGGAAACCCGTAGCAGCCGTTGGTGCCGTTACACGCCACTTGTTAGGCGGTAATAACACATTACATCTCAATATTCCGTACAAGAAGTTGATTACTACCTCCCTGCTTACTTCCTAGACCTGATCGAGGGAAACTACCCCCGGCTAGTTGCTTTACCAGCGATTTCTTCCACACCACGTTTTTATCACCGTTCACTCGTTTCAGGTGATTGTTTCTTTTCGTCTGATTATTTCTACTTTTTTATCTTTTAAACCATCCCTTCCGTCTCCGTCTCTCCGTCTCTGTCTCCGGTCTCCGCCTCCCGTCGCCCCGTATTTTGGTGGTGCATTTCACTCGCTTTTCTACTAACCCTTACCCTTACTGCGACATCGTGCGATTCGACGTATTTACTGCGATCCGACTAAACCGAAGCGCATCAGATAAGCGTTGATTGCACGATTTGCATTTTCTGTTTCCGTGGTCGCATCAACTAGACTTGATCGAATTCTTGGACTTTAGACGAAGAAACCCAATGACAGCTTACTTGGATTCATGAATTCGATTATTTAATAGCGAGGACGATGAGGTTTTCAATAGGGTCACCGCTTTTGGCGGTCATCTCATTTGCATCGATCATTCTTCCCGTGGCGGCAGAACGAATTCTCCAATCTACCTCTCTTAATATCTGTCAGGAAAACTCTGGATTCACGGCTAGTTTGTTTAGTGTTATTTACAACCCGGCTACCAACAAGGCTTCTGTGAATATCTCGGCCATCTCTACTATCGAAGCCAAGGTTGTGTTCGATGTTGAAATTACCATCTATGGCTACTCGTTTATGCATACTATTGTTAAGCCTTGTGATCTTGGTTTGGCTGGATTTTGTCCTATGAATTCTGGAAAAACGTCCGATCCCTTTGACATTGATGTCCCAGGCGCTTCATCTAGCATTCCGTCTATCGCCTACGACTTTCCTGATCTCGATGCTAAGGTTAGGATTTTAATCAACGCAACTGATGGTCCTCAAGCTGGCCAAAGTGTTGCTTGCGTCGAGGCAATGGTTTCGAATGGACAAACAGTCAACTTAATCGGGGTTAAATGGGCCTCGGCTATAGTGGCTGGTTTGGCTCTTGCATCTTCAGGATTTCTCTCTGGGCTGGGTCATACGAATGCTGCTTCCGCACGTCGCTGCAAATGCCTTGTCATTGGTTGGATACTTCCAGTCACAGGCTATGATTGGCCTTGTGGGAATTCCCCTGCCTCCTGTTGTGCAGGCGTGGACTCAAGATTTCCAATGGAGTATGGGTATCATCGATGTCGCTTTTAGTACGTCAACTCATCATTCTCTATTTGACATGAGTGAACGTAGTTTTGCTCATGCAGAAGTTTCAATTATTCTAGAAGTATCTGTTAACATTTAATCTTAGTGCAACACATCTTCACCTGGTATCAGCGCTCAACGGGAGGTACAGCCTCTACATTGATCACTCAGGCTGATTATTTTTCGACTGTGTCCGTAGAGGTACAAAAGCGCGCAGTTGATCTCTTCGACCGCGGGACAGCAATGATTCCCCATAGCATGGTGGAGCACGGTTCCAAACTCATGAAGCGAGCTAATGTCATGACCTCATATGGGAGTTACATCGTGTACGGCATCCAGCGCGTGGCTTTTAAAGCAGACATTGAAACCACAAATCTATTCTTGACAGCAATCGTCTTCTTCTACCTTGTCATGGTTGTAACCACCTTGTGTGTGGTCGCTTTCAAAGGAATATGCGAACTGGCTGCGAAGCAGAAGTGGATGAAGGGTGACACTTTTCTAGAGTTCCGCAATGGTTGGCGTGAGTATCCCCCAAGTTTATACCGCGGTATAGCTTTCTATGCGAATACTGTACTAATGCTAACTGTTGTATGCTCATAGGTACCGTACTCAAAGGCATCCTCTTCCGAATGGCTCTCATTGGACATCCTCCAGTAACAATCCTTTGCCTCTGGGAATTTACTCAGAATGACTCTCCTGCACTGATGGTCATAGCCGTGTTCTTCCTCCTCCTTGTCAATGGAGTGCTCGCTTGGGCAGCTTACAAGGTCGTCCGAATTGCGCACCGTTCAGTCGCGCTCCACAGGAACCCGGCGTATATATTGTTTTCGGACCCTCAGACACTTAATAAGTGGGGTGAGTAATTCTCTTATTATAAATTTTAGATTCCTGTCAACACGACTGTTATATTTAAATATTATACCTTCATTACTAACTTGATGTGTTATAGGTTTCCTCTACATTCAATTCCGCGCCTCCGCTTACTACTTCATCATTCCTGTCCTCGGATACACCATCGTGAAGTCTATATTCATTGCATTTGCCCAGAACTCCGGCATTGTTCAGGCTATCGCATTCCTCCTCATTGAGGCCGCCGCCCTCATTGCATCCGCGGTATTACGACCTTGGATGGATAAGAAGACTAATTCCTTCAACATTGCTATCGCAGTTGTCAATTTCATAAACGCTATCTTCCTCCTTATCTTCACCGACGTATTTGACCAGCCTGGAATTGTTACCGGTGTCGTCGGTGTCGTGCTGTGGATCTTGAACGCGGTTTGCACATTAATTCTCCTGCTCATGTTAATTATCACTACTGGCATTGTCATCTTCAAAAGCAATCCAGATGGCCGCTACAAATTTATGTCCGACGATCGTACTTCTTTTATGAAGTCTCAGAGTCAACTCGCTACTTCAACCGAGCTCGATGCTCTAGCTGTGACTGCCCGAGGTGAAAAGCCGGGATATTCATCTGCTCTTGACCTGGATGACGATGGAGACTCCAACCCTCGCGATTCATTATTCCGGGGGCAAAGCTCGATAGCTAATTCGACAGCTAATAACTCCCATCACGCCCCTTCCCATTTCGCCGCGCCTCACTCACCTATCGACCCGATCAACAGGACTGCCAGCCCGTACAACGGGTCGGTGTCTTCAATATCGCGTTCTCAGAATAGTTCCAGCCCGGCTGGCTTTAAGCCACCCGCTAGCCCAAGGTAAGAAACTGCTATAACTACTACTTTGAATCATTAGCTTATAATTGTATTCTAGTCCTTGGCAACGTGGAGCTGGTTACGAACACTGAAGAAGCTCGTCAATGCACTAACAGAAACAAACTAAGAAGTCATTGGTATTTCACATATGGCCTATTTGGTTTATATGCATATATCGTTATACTCGTAGGCTCGGACTATTTTTACCTTGAGTTGTGCGGGATGAAACTAAGGATATCCAAAGCATGTTGCATATGTTTGGCGGATATGCGTTCTTGGAGGAGCAGGGAGCAACGGGAAGAGTTTCTAGCATACATGGCGTTTGGGTAAGGAATGATGCTCATAGCTGGCATTGTGCTGCACAGTTTTTAGTTGATTCGTGATGTATATCTTGTCCAAATTATTTATTGAATTGATGCTTGGCTATGTGTAGCTTTGATCATTTTACCTGTAACGTGGACTAAGTTATTGAGAGTCTTTGTTTCTACGGTACTCTAGAGAGTGTCGGAAGGTTTCTTCGACCGCATACTTATCATTCAAGGAACAATATATTACCGTTCATCTTTTAATGATCGCTTCTGCCACACCTTACTCAACACTAACGGGGTTTTTCATTCCGCCTTCTCACTAAGGGATGGTCAATTTACCAGATAGATCCAAGCGCATTTATCGTCGATCATATTCCTAAGTGTCTCGAATCGGGTAAATCCCTCCCCCGCCTGTACGCCCCTTAAACGCTCTACCCCTATTATTTCTACCCCACCACGGTAATTTGAGGCTCAAGGAACTCGATAAGCAAGGTATGCAGTTAATCGATGATTGAATGGATTTAGATGCCTCAGGCAACTAATCGTAGTATACAGGCAAGTATCTTAAAACTACTTCGGAAAAGATCGTAACCAGATAAGCTCCCATTCTAATCCCAGCCAGTCCCCCAACTCAGAATACCCCTTTTTGTTAGCACCCCTTTACTCAATAGACTCCGGGATCTCCTCACGCTCCCCAAAGAACCTCAAGTGATCAGCCTGGTCTTCGAAGCGAGCAAGCATTTCGTAAGCCTCTCCCTCGGGAGAATCGCGCTTGAGAGTGTAGCGGAATCCTCCTTCCTCCAAGAAATGCTCGTCCGGCTCAACTCTCTTAGCTGGGCCGGCGCTCTCTTCGTCACGTGCGTTGATCACGACGAAAACCTGAGCACCTTCGACCTCTTGTTTCTTGTTGCTGAGACATTTATTACCCGTCTGCTGCTTGATGGCTAAGCCACCGCAGTCCGACTCCTTGTAGACCTTCAGCTGGTCATCTGATTCGTTGCCGCCGCCGGTCTCTTCGAACTTGGCGGACCGGTACTTCTTCCCCCCGTCGCCGCAGCAGGTTCGAGCAGAGACGTTGCTGCAGGTCTTGCCTACTGTCTTTTTGCAGTCTTTCTTCTCGTAAAGCATGATGTTGTAGTTGGCCATGGCGAGGCTGGAGAAGACTGCCGTGAGGAGAAGAGTGCTGAACTGCATTTTGGAGATTATTAGTTGTCGAGTAAAAGATAACTGAGTGTTATAAGTATTGGAGGTGCTTTTGATGTGAAATCTGGTCTATTGGATTGTATAATTTAAATCCAAGATATCTGGGCGGCTGACTTTTATATTCACAATCTTCGTCCTTAGGTACCTTTGCTTATGTATCGTAGGTTAGCATATTTAACCTGTCAAAACAGCATATATCATTCTAAGTCTGACTACATGTTGATAGATACTAGTTGCTGTCTTCGTTACCATATTTCTTCAGACTTTTCGCTGATACTATAAGTCGTAGTCACATTGAAACTTAACATAGACCTACCTGTGATCCTACCTTATTTGCACGATTTGTATGAATAACTCATACTCTTGGTTAATATATCTAGTTTCTTAATATAGGTCGAAGTCCTACGAGGATCGTGCCCCCTTTTGTCTCTTATAAAGAATTGTGTACGACAGAGTATTCCCTTCGGCGTAAATTCTCACACGATTAAAGATCTACGGTATGACATGGCCTACTCACGAATCCTTCCCAGATTATGCTAACCTGGCAGGTAGTCTTAAATGAAAACCCGGACCAACAGATGAATAGTATCTCACTTCATAGAATACGGATATAACGGCATTTTTAATAAGAGCAGGATCATGTATGTTGATCTGTCTGCTGAGGAATTACCACTCTGGCTTGATAGATACTACTCAATACTTCCAGTTCGCTATCCGGGCTTATGGATATAACATCGGTGTAACCATCCACAAGCATTGAGAACCTAAAAAAAGGTATGTACGCCTTTTAGGCATATTCTTGAAACTACATCATGGTCGCTTTATATGACTTCTATTTGAAATTTCTCTTTAAAAATAGCCATCAAGTATATTCTAAGATGTCTAATTAGGAAGTAACCTTCATGATTTACCAAGGGCACTATGACTTCACAATTAAGACTTCATAGATAAACTTTTGGAACATCAGTGTGGGTTTCAAGAGACCAAAGAACTCGAAGCTGGTACTAGGGGTAAGTGGGTTACCGTAATGATTTCGTGGAAGCTATAGGGGATATAATAGTAAGTGTTGAATCATGTCGTGTATTCTCGGAAGAGGTCGTTTTAGAGGAGCCACTTTATGAAGTAAGCTTTTCTTAGCATGGTTTTTGTTGCTCTTGGTAGATACGCGCTTCTATTTTAATATATTCCGTACAGATTTAGGGTCACTTCGTCTCCGGATCGACACGGATTCAGGCTTGGCAGGGCTTGAGATCCTCGAATGGGTTTCAGGGGTATAATTCTCTATCCTGATTGGTTAAGTGATACATCATTATGATGTGGGGGCAAGAACAAGTCGTACAAAATATGGTTAAGAGACGTAAGCATAAGAGAAGATCAAAAGAACGATTTCTACTTTCGTTTTTACCTAATTATTTCATTGATTAGCATCTGGGCATCTCACTAAAACTAAGCACGCAACCAACTCGATATTTGTGGGGTGACACTGGAAGTCACTCTCCGTCACCTGTCTTACGACTGTTGTTGCATAACTTCATCCAACTGTTCAATCCCAAGCAATGGATCCATCTGAGAAATACCCATACTACAAGATCCACGATAGAGAAAATGGCTCAAACGGGAGCTTCAAGGTGTACATTATCCTGATTGACTCGGACGATGGGCGGGCGTACGAGAAGCTCTCAACTGACTCGGAGCGCTTGGACTATATGCGCAAGCATGCGAATGATAGCTGGGATGTCGTTCGGCCGGACGCCGCTTTCTATGAGGATTACGAGCTCGGGAAGAGATATACCATCAAGAAAGACTCGCCCGAATACAAGGGATTGCAGAAGCTGATGCGAAAGGACGGAGAATCCTATCATGAAGGGACGAAGGAGTTCGCTGATATGCTACAGTATTATAAAGAGCATGCTACTATGGTGGAAGATATATCTGTGGGATCCCGCTGCTAGATATCAAAAGACAGGGAGAGATTTAGAGTTATGTCGACATACCGCTACACCACTAAAAGGCTATTTGGTAACAGATTTTATTCTATTACATATTATATATGTCGGACAGATATTTTATATCTGACAGGTATCGTGTTAGACAGCGGCAAGGGATGTCTCAGTTAGATGATTCCAATGATCTCTAGTCGTATTTCTCCATTAAAAATCCAATTTTCTAATAGAATTGCGATTACGAATATTAGTAGTAACGATAGTATTTATCAGGATATAAACGATGCATAGTAGTCCGGTGGTTGACGGCTTAGGTAGCTCGGATGATTTGGACCACTACCCTATAAAGAAGCATGTTGGTTCGGATCCATCCACTAACATCGGTACACAATGCTATTAATTCTAGGCTTAGTTGTCTTTCATTTCTTCACGCTAATTAACACATGACGATATGATCGTAGCATAGTTCTCGAGATGATAAAGAGAGACATTGTTATTGCTAATAGTATGATAGGAATGACAAGTGCACCCATGTCAGATGTAAAATGGCACTATGAGTATATAGTAGATATTAAAAACCTAAGAAACTGCATTACAATCGCTTAGACCCTATAGGCTAGAAATCTTATGGCGTCAAATAGCATCAATCTTTAAGGATAGTGGAGTTGATAGAATATGATAGGAAGAGAGTTTTAGAAGTAGCCTCGTCCCGATACTTAAAGGCAAAGTTATCGTATATGAAACAAGAAACTCATCATCCGTTCATTCTCCTTCTAAACGGTAGCGTAGCCCCTCTCATTGTATGATACTGTAAATTGCGTAGTCGTATAGGTGGCTTAGAGTTGATCTGTGCCTGTTGGTGATGTGTAATCTTCGTTCTGTGACACAGTTGCAGCAGAAATTCCCATGTGCGAGAAGATCAGTCTTTACATATATCCTCTTCGACTTCCGTTCCGGTCAGACTGTCAACCGGTTTATTGCCCTGGTATTGACCGAAAGTTATACGATTGGCGTTCTCGGGGTTGCCAGGGTTGTCCTTGAGCTTTACCATCTTGCCATGTTTAGGTGAACGAGGTGTACCAAGAATAGACGGGGCAATCTTGGCGATGAGAGGCTTGAAGTGTACCAAGCTAGCACATACGATACCAAAATTGGATTCGATTGCAGACCAAACGGCGGCGTCAAAGTGATACCCTAGATAATTACCATTAAGATCATAAGCTAATTAACCAATAGATAAGGTAGGCATAAGGCAGGCTGTTTGAAAGCGCGGAGCTTGACTCACAGGTAGGGTCGTCAGAGTAAATCGCATCCCAAAGCGTGGCTACACGTACGATTCCTGTAATGCAAACGAAGCCACCCACCACAAAAATGCCAACTAATGCAATACGCTGCTTGACGGGCAGCTGAATGTTCCAGAGTATTGGAGATGGTAGAAGATAAATCACAAAGTCTTGGAAGATGTTTAAGCCCGCATTGGCACAAAATAGTGCTCGCAGGTCAAAACAAGTTCCGGGAACACTAGTATCCCAAGCTCTATGGATGGGATGACATTGGAATATGCCGGCTACGCTAGAGGTAAAGCCAGTAAGAAGAACGAATGTCATCATAAACCAGAGAAACATCCGGTAATTAACCTGTGGGAAGAGCCTGAAGTAGAAGAATATGATGGAAACCTTTGTTAAGGATACGCTTATATAGTATACTGGCTGCTTAGCGTAGAAGAGGATATTTGAAGTAGTAAAATCGGTTTCCCGGGGCAAGTCTATAAGGTGCTTGCCGAGACCGAATTTCGTTTCTATCGAATTCTAAAGTCAGCCTTGGTCGCATGTAGAGAGTACGTAGAAGGGTCTCCTACGTAGGCTGATGTCGGTGCCATAGGTCAGAGTAAGTAGCCATGCGGCTATGATGATCCAATCATCTGCACCTAAGCCCATGCGTTGGATTCTTAGTCTAGTGTAAAACCGTAGTGCTAGAAAGATAGTAGATAGGGCCTGAACAGCCGCTACGATAGCAACCACTTGCCCGCTGCGGGATTCTATAGGAGCGGTGGACATTTTCGTCGTATGTTTCTTTCGGTCGCAAACTAAGGGCTAGAAGTTTATAAATGAGAGCTCTGCTTATGTTCCGTACTGGGCTAGATGAATGGTCGCCAGTGAAGTCTTGTTCTCGGTTATAATAGAGAAGTGATCATCTGCTAACTTCTGACTGTAGATGATTAGGACATACATCCGATTTATTCCTACAAGACGCTATAATTGCACCACCACTTTAGACCTACTCTACTATATAACTACAATTCAAAAGCCACCACAACTCGGCTACGTATTTTCCATATTTGAAGCATGGGAAGATCGACGGGTACCAAGAAAGGCTAACACTTAGGGTGGTTATGAAAGCGTCCCCCCGCATGGCCCCCGTGTTCTTGATAAATTAACTCCGGCCCCCAAAAACTGGGAAACCTATTGTCTAAGATGCTGAGGGATGCAGATACCCGTATTATCGGGCCCCTATAAAGCTTAAGTAGTAATTTACTCTAATGTACTACCCCAGCCTACTTTTAAGGGCGCTATGTGGCTCTGGAATGGTGCTTACTTACAGTAGGTTATAGATATGAATATTGACTGATATCGGGCGCCCTCTTCGAGATCATGCTGCCTGTAGCACCATAATTTAGTCACGGTGAAGCATTATTGGCTATTCGTTACCTAGAATACTATATTTAGTATCCAGTTCCTATCTCCTCAACCAGTAGTGAACTACACCTCCCTTATGATCTTCTATATTATATTACATGTGAAACTCTGCTTCATTTATTATCATAATGCAAAGGCTCTTGCGGTCAATTTCTAGAGTCATATATGTTTTGTTACCCTAATATGCGAGAACAGTTCCCTCTAATCTACTTGAGCTCCTAAGTATATGAGGTAGGCAGGTATGTGTTATTAGACACCCCATTCGCTATACTTCTGTATATTTATCACGATAAATTTTTCTGTCAGGACTCTAGATGTTTCATCTAGAACGAAGAACAGGCTTCGTATATATAGACCTAGAACCTCATAGGTGGTTACCTAGAGTTCCTTGCGGAGTAACGAAGTTGTTTCTATGCTGTTTGGTTCCACCTCGTGACACTTTCATACTCATATGATTCGCCTAGGTACGGGCCTTTCTCTTTCTAAAGGCCGAGGTTTATTGCAACAAGTTTCACATCATTTAATCAAGAGACTTGAAACGTAAAAAGTAATTCCATAACTTTTCTAATATCTTATAGTTAACACCGAAGGGCATTAGCTTCTGGAATTATATAGGTAGTTACTTACTCTTGTGTTAAGGGGGTGACGCAATAAGCTAACGTTACTTCGAGTACAGAAGCATTCATAAGAAGAGTACCTAAAGCAATGATATTCCGATCATACCTATCAGTGGTAAGGCCTGCATAAAGAGCCATGTAGTTTACCATGTTGGGCGGAACAGTACGCCTAGCCCCCAAAATAGATTTCTGTCCCGGTAGGAGTTTCTCGTGCTACCATACTTCATGGAAACCTCTATATATTTCCAGACTTAAACGTCGTCATCACCATCCTTAGTTCATGTAGTATAACTTTAAGTGGTATTTAAGATTGTGCTATAGAGGTAGGTAGGCTGTTCCCTCCTTGTGCTTTCATGGATTATATTCTAATTGGTTTGACCATTGTTCCGCGACAGACATTAAGACACCACATACAACTCAATACACGTAATAGGGGTACACAGCGTTATATTAAAATAGATAACGTTTTGTTGCTACTTTTTCTTTTCATTTCTCTTCCCTCCACATTGTATGCGGAAATGAATCTCTTGCATTCATTCAGTATTAACCCTACGAACGAGGCCTCCAATTTGGTATATGCATCTACCTAGGTTCCTAAAGTAGGTAGGTAGACTTGCAAGATAATGGCTCCTTCAGCATTTTTTGGTGGTAGCAAAAACCGTACTGGAGTCATATTCATGGCCTCGTTTTTCTGTCTCATGACGATAGTTATAGTCCTTTCGAGATTCTATGCGAGACGACTGACTAGAGTTGGCCTTGGAATTGATGACTGGCTAGCACTGGTTGCATTGGTAAGTGGGATATAGGTTCAACGATCATTTCAATCGGAACTAATTTTAATAATTTATACACGAAGGCTTTCGTCCTTGGACTAAATGGAATCTTCATCGCGGGCTCTGTTGAGGGCGCTATCACACGCCACTCACTCATCAATAGTGATAACAGGCCTATGACTTCGGACCTCGAGCACACGGCGCAGAAATACAAGTATGCTTTCCAGATAACTGAGAAACTTGCCTTTGGGTTAATTAAGCTATCGCTTATATTTCTCTGGAAGCGGCTATTTGGACCAGCAAAGTACTTCACTAGACTTTGTTGGATTATGATTGCTATTACGAGCGGCTGGTCTCTGTTGTTTTTCTTCGCGACTATCTTTGAATGCGGTATCAACTGGGCATGGAACTGGGCACCTATAGCTAGCTTCCTGAACCAATGCGCCAACACTCCGATTAGGCTATGTGTTTTCACTGGGATGGATCTGTTAACAGATCTGATCATCATGTGTATGCCGGTTCCCCTTATTTGGGGGCTTCGCATGCCGATTAGAAAGAAAATGAGCGTGACGAGTATATTCGTACTTGGGTTGTTGTAAGTTGCTTTATCATGAGATCTATAATGCCCTTCTATTACTTCAACGGCTTACATTGATTAAGTACTATTGGTACTGGTGCAGCTCGGATGTACTTTTACATCGTAACCGCTTATGATATGGATGATAATCCAGACTTTCTTTCAAATTTTACTTTATTCATCCTTTGGTCGGATATCGAAGCCAATGTCGCCATGGTTGTATGCTGCATGCCAACATTAACTCCTGTCCTAGGAAGTTATTATAGCGGTCTCACCAGTCTTATAAGTCGGATTAACCCTAATAAATGGCCTTCCCCATCGTCAAGTCACTTTGCTAGCAAACCATCCAATATCAACTTGAAACCACCCATCACTTTAGAAATAACGCTACTTCCATTAGTAAAATTTCCCCACGACGGGGTGTCTTGGCAAGATGCTCCCAGAGTGATCACACAGGCCAGCTATGGTGCAGCCGAAGCGCAAAATGTACAAAATAAAGAGGGAATTCTAGCCCGTACTGAGATCCATAGAACATTTGAGCCTAGGGAAGGGTTTTTCTAATGATTTCTTTTATGTTTCCAGCTCCATACCAAATCAAATTAGAACTCTCCTTTGTCCTTTGTTTACGTACCTGCATACCTTAGATAGGTAAACTCCATTCTCGATGCCATTCGGAGGTGGCACTACTATAGATATACGTGTAGATGTTAAACAAATAGAGACTTATCTAGCTTGTGTGATAAAGGCAAAAACAAGTAGAAGGCCATTGGACGCCGTAATATCGGCACCATGGTCGAAGGAGAAAGATCAGCATTATATAGTGACACTTGGGATTAATTTGGCTAGACGACCCCCCAGATACTTGGCTCTCAAGCCAGTTATAATCGGTTATAATCACTGTGCCGTAGTACGGTAGAGGTACGTCTTGCGCCTTATTCCACTCAATCATAACGTTTGAGTTTATGAGCTATAAGTTCTCAGTTCTTATAGGCTACTATAGGTTAGATTATATAGTAAGTACTACGATGAGATATGTTGATGAAAAGGAGGCGTTTATGTTCATATACCAACCCCTATTTTGATGACCCACATAAAACTTCCCCCTTATCAAAAATCCCCCGAATATCAAGCAAAGCACTCAAATCATACTTCCTTTTCAACATAGTTATTCATAAACTACTCATACTGATAATAACTACCTCTTAAAATCAGAATAATTCCATAAGATTTATTCAAATTAGTTTTACCCTTTCGCGTTTAAGGCGCTGAACTGTATATTTGCCTGAGAAATAAGGCTAGATGTCTGCCACCTGGCAACGGCCCGACCGCTTCTCCATGAATTAAACCTTAGAATAATTATTGAATTTTAGCAACATTAGCATCTAAGCGTATTAATTCAACCTTACTCTCAAAGTCACCATACGAACAAGATCGGTAATAAAAAGAAATAAATCATGTTTGAGGAACTTTTCGAGACCTGCAAGAGGCTCAAGGGATCTCAGATTCCATCGCGGGAGATTCGCGAGGATGTTTTACGACGTATGTTTCTTCCGCATCTCATCTTATCTCATTTCATTTCAACTCGTGAGATGGATGAACTGACAAACCGTCACTTTAGTGGTCCCCAACGGATGCACCGTACGAGATCTAAGAGATTTCCTGTCAGAAAGCAGAGATGAATCGGTATGCCTTTAAAATTGATGATTTAATTGAGATTTCTCATGAAACTAAGTGAGTATATACAGGATCACGTTGCCGTACTCTTAGCCGCATATGCCGTTGCGCTCAACATCAGCAAAGACGACAAGGGGCAAGAACTTATCGACGAAGACAACTTGGACAATACGCTCCATGATGTCGCCGACCGTGTTAACTCCCTCATCCTGCCTATCTGCTCTGGCGAGTCGCTAGACGAAGGTATGAAGTTCTGATCATTTGTCATGTAGCAAGAGGAGCAATTACTGATGATATACGAACAGATGAGACAGACTACACCACCCTCCAGCGCAAAGGCGAACTAGGCCTTCTAGCCCTAGATGCGCTCACCAAACTCCCTTCCAAATCAAACCCCCTCCAGTTCCCTCGCTCGGTACTGCTCCGCATAACCGCTTTCACCAACATCACAGACCCCTGGACAACAGCAGAATCACACAGCCTTTCCCAATCCCTCCTCGAGGCCCAGCTCCAGCAACTAGGCGACTCCCAAACAAAGACCCTCATCGTCGAGGATATCCTAACCAACTTCCTGCGCCCGCTATTCTCCAAGTCCCGCCCGGCAGCAATCACCGCATCCGGGCGCAAGGCCGAGTACGTCGAGCCGTCGCGGTATGACGGCGCCTCCCGGGAATCGCCCGAGACGAAGCCTTGGAAATATACTCACCGGTACGCCGTGACGGTCTTCGCGTGGGCTGTGGAGTATGCAGATGTGAGTTGCTTTCTTGCATATTTAGGTGCTCACTTAATTGAGATATAAACCTGTCGTCTATGATATACACATACACATATAAGTCCCTATTTATGACCTAATATACTAACTCGCCTATAGTCCTCCCTCCTACAGGCCCACTGGCCGCTCTTCACCCCCGTACTGCTAACCCTGATCGACGAGCCAGGCCCTAGTGCTTTCAAGGTACGCGCTCTCGGTGTGCTACGCGCCTTCTGGGCGCGCTGTCCGACGGGCCTAATGCGGGATACGGGCCTGGGTGAAGTATTCGAACACGCTGTATTCCCTGCGGTCCTGTACCTACCAAGCTTAACACCTGAGGATGAATCTCTAGATATTCTCAGCGTCGCGTATCCTGTGCTAATCGAGATGGCTGGTCTCACTGTCGATCGGCCGTTAGTAACAACAGGTGTAAGCACGACAGAAGAACAGGAGCAGACACAGAAATCAACACACCAAATCACAGAGGCACAGCGGAGACTACTAGATAAAATCATCAGAGAAGGCATCATGATCGGATATCACCACGCAAAAGAACATGTGCGGCTCGTGGGCCTATTCTGCGAGACGCTCGTCTGTATTATAAATGGGATGGGTATACTAGCCGTGAAACACCTAAAGGTACCGTCCCTCCCATTGTTTCCGCTTACACCCGCTCTAAATTCCAAACCAAACCAAATAAACTTAACACACAGCCTTAATTCCTATTATACCAAAATGCCGCTTCAGCTATGAGATACTGTTATTAATATAATAGAAAATAGGATTTTATCCCCATGCTCTCCGAGATTATGACCGACCCTTTCGGCACTAAACACCCACCAACTTTGACCTCGGCCACCAAACTACTGCAGGCTATCCTACGCAATTGCTGGCCTAGAATCCAGCATTATTGCAATGAAGTAATCAAAGTGCTTATATTGTGCTGGCTTAATATCGGCGACGAAGAGTCTTTTCCGCACAATAGCCCGATCGCGAATGACTTGAAATCCAGTCTAACCCAAACCGCTAGCATGCTATCTGCAATAATGAAAGCAGCCCAGATTGATTTCAGACAACGCGTCGACCCACTGATTGAAAAAGAACCTCAATTAAGCGAGCTCTTTGGAGAGATAAACTCGACGTAAAAAGGACGCCTCAGGAAGACACCGAAAATTCAGACAAATTATTGCTCACCGACCTCGACGCGGCCGAATCCTAATCGACCGGCTGCTGCTTGAAGAGGGATTTACCTCTAAGCCATTTCTTATACGCCTTATACCGTTTCTTCGGCAAATCCTCATCCGTCACGGTCAGCGGGTTTTCGCCAATCCGCAGTAAGTCATTATACGCGTCGATGTCGTCTTCAGTACCAGTAGAGACTAGACCTTCCGTGTGCCAGCTCCCGTTAAGGTACTCTTGGTATTCGGAGGAATCGACATCCGGTGGTGCCTCGTTGGAGATGACCAGGGGCAGGCTTGTGGGTGGCTGATATATCGCGCGTAGTCTTCCGCTTCTTGCGTACTCACTGACGGGTTGAGCGACTCCTGGACAATATTTGTGAAAGTCCACTGTGCAGTCTTTGTTTTCTCTTGAGCGGTCTGCTTTAGCCTATGACTGTCGCGATTCTCTGCGGAGTCTTTCATGATGCTATGAGGAATCGTAGGGCCGCGGTCCGGCTGCATAGGCTGAAGCCAGCGTTGGATTGATATACCCCGAGAACTCGTCTTTTCCGTCATGACGGACTCGGAGTCGTCATCCGGCGAAGATTTTCGGGAATCTTGAGGATCAACAATAATCACCTCCTTCTTTGCAGTCGACTTTTTCTTCTCGTGGGTTTCCCCGTCGCCATCAGTGCGGACGCGGAAGGGGCTCAAGTCGTATTTACCTTCCTGGGTCGACTTGAAGGGTATATACTTGATAGTGGAATTCATCTTATACGGAAACATTTTTGGAAATGAAGACAATGTTGACGGGCGATAATACTCTCCAGCCAATAGTCATCGAAGAATGAGACAGGTTTCGTCGCCATCTCTTTTTTTGGTGGTACAAAAGCAGGTATAGTCCGCTTCTCAAGATATGCCGGCGTGTACCAATGGATATAGTCGTGCTTCTCCTTTTGTGACCATGTTCGCGGATTAGCATGGTGAAGGTAGTAATCCGTTGAGAGATCCCACAGCATAGGTTGCCCTTGAGCAAAGATATAATTCCCAAGGAAGAGGTTATAAGCTTCCTGTCTTTGACTATCTAGGAACGAGTTATTATAATACCGCTTGAAGCTCTCGATCATATCACGGGAATGGCTAGTCCACTGGTTTATTTTGCGATACGTCTCCATCGTATTCACCAACTGGGAACCTCCATACTGAACTGCGATCGTATCACCATGATCGTGGTACATATGAGTGAAGAGATTAACCGCGTCCGTGTCGTAATCAATGGTTGTGTCTTCAAGAATACCGAGGGCGTGAAGCTGGTGTCCAAGCGCTCGCTTTCCAATGACAAATTGAGCTGCATTCGTACGGTCTAAGCAATCGATGCAATTTGTTCTCGCAACACCGTTCTGAACACTAGTTTGAGTAATATCGCCGTCGCCGTTGTGGAAGATGCCGGTCGTAGTGACGACAGTTTCAGCAATGTTCTCAAGTGTACCAATGACATCTTGATCTTTGCTTTTAGCGGCCCTACTCATATCCCAAGCTTTATGGATGATCTTGTGTCCTTCCGGTAGAAATTGGTTCAGATAGTTGATAGCATTTGTATACTCGTCAAGTAATTTAGATTCTCGCGGAGTCCTCTCTCTAGCTTTGATGAGATTGAGCGCATACACGGGAGAGCCGTAACGTTCGAACAAGTTGTCAAAATGCAGTGCAGCTGCTGTGTAAAAAGGATCGATGAGATTCAATTCGATCGGCGGCTTGGGGGTAACGCCCATATTATCCTGCGTCCAATGAAGAGGAATGCTTCCTCTATGCTGAACATAGGAAGTAAACTGCGGATTCGCAAAGAGCTTGGGGCCAGGAGAATGGAACGAGGTTGTCAATGCTTCGGAAACGATCTGCTCAGTCTCAACATCGTTCGCTACATAGCCTAGATCATTTGCCCCGCGCTTCAGGAACCTGGCGCCAGCGAAGTATCTTGAGCGCCTCGCGATTATGGTGATATGTGCTGTCCTGCCGTATATAGATATGGCAGCCTGATCAATATATCCATGTATTATCGGACGACACCAATCAAAAGGGTCATGAATAGCATCCTCGGCGGGTCGCAAAAGATGGGCTATTCCAGCCAGATGAACATGGAATTATAATCGTCATATGTCGTACCTGGCATTCCATGCAGTAAAGCAGTTCTTTCTCGGGTGATGTTGTGTTGCAAAGTCCTGGTGATGTCGTAAGAGTAGCTATAGTAGAAGGATCTTGTGAGATCTAGATTCTTAAGAATATTTAGGAAGCGTTGCTCCTCGACATGGCGAGCATCCGTCTTGTACTTCGCTGGAGTTAAAGGAATGAGTTCAGTTCCGTCGATCTGGTAAACATAATGGCCGCCAATCATTGCAACCGTACTTTTCTTGGTGATCAGTAGCATGTAGTACGGCCCTGTAAATTTAATGAAGCCTAAAATCCCCCAAGTCGTACATCTCTGCTTGATACCACCTGTGCTTTTGTTTCCATCGTCAATAGTGTTTAACAGCGAGTTCATCTCTTTCTGACTATAAATAATTTTATCATCCGTTATAGTCAGGTCAGAGTCGTGGGTATCAGACTCGTGAGTGTTACGATCTATTTTCAAGATGCGATAACGTTTCTCGGTAACATCTCCTCCAACGATGTAGTACCGGCTCGCCGTTTCGTACAAGGTGAACTTATGCATCTTGTAGGCTGATCGAATGGGAGCTCGTTCTTCCTCAGGCGGGGTGGCAACCCTAGACGATATGTCGGGGCTGCTTGTTCGAACAAAAGGTCTAGCAACTGGTTCCTCATCATTATCGTCCTCGACCGTCCGCTTCTGTGCTTGAACGTTTTGTAGTAAAGTTTCGCTACTAGCATTATTCTGCAAAAGAGGATACGCAGGTTCTAGACGATCCGTATCATGGGATTCGTCATCAATTACTCGGTGGCTAACATCCTGAGTCTGACTTGGTGGCTGAGAAGCTTGGCCGTTGCTGGCCGTTGCACTGTCCTGGTCATTCACGTCGGCCATTGGAACCGACACGGGACTCCCGATCGAAGCATACTCCTAAAGTATACGAGAAGCCTTATTTCCAACAATATTTACGATGTATAAGAATTAGAAAATTTACCAGCCCGTGTTGCCAGCGAAAATGAGCTCAGCGATTTCGGAAAGTGTCTATATGTAGGTAAACTTTCAAAACTATAACGACTTCAATGAGGACGAGACCCCAACTCTAAAGAGGCCTGTACAACTTATCGATAGGGAAGATAAGCAGGTGACGGTAGCATGCGCCATGTGCGTAAAAGCGTAAAAGCATAAAAGCGGAGCAAACCTAAATTTCATTGTTCTAACTTCGTACTGTTACGTCATCGCCATATTTAGACTTTCTTTCTTTATTGGAAGTAATTCCATCTACGTTAAAGAAAAAGAACTATGCTCATTCTTACGTATTCTCAAGCTATGGCGCATATTCTTATGGGCTCTACATTTCCCGAGCGGCATTCTTCAATTTTCCATGGTGAGACGGACGACACCGTCTCATGCTTAACGGAACCGAAGCGTAAATATAAGTGACACAACGATAATAAATAATTAAGGCTCTGTGTAAGACTACATATTTAATAAGACGAAACATCCGGTATAGAAATTCACTAATAACAAGTAATAGAACTCCAACTCCACGGCAACTTCGTGGCGACATATGTATAATGCATACGTGATCATTTTGTAGAATTACCTATATTCGCGATCCGATCACTATAAGTAAACTACGGAATATCTGCATATGTTATTATAATGCCACATACTATATCGTGTGCATTAAGCTCCAATATGTGGAAATGCGGTCTGCAGGTACAAGTGCTGACCGCTTTCCATGACTCATGTAAGGTTAATACACCGAACTGATCTGGCCAGATTAGGCAAGCCGTTAAAGATAGTTGGTGTGAAGCATCGTGAAATGCTACTCCAAATGGCGCCGTGGTGAAGTGCTTGGGCGAGGAAGAACATCTTAACCCTGCTTGCAAGAGCCGCATAACTTTAACAATTAGTTATTTACAGCATATGCGGTAAGACGCCAAGAAAATCCCCGGAATACTACAGCCGAGCTTGAAACAACGTAACGTTTGAAACTATCTAAGTGGCTATGAGCTATCGAAGCGGTGAATAAATATTGTATGACGTTGCAAAACTTATCAATTATTACTCCAAGAGCAGAATCTAATCTGTGAACCTAAGTAGATTTTTAAGGATACGATGTAAGATGCCAACACATAATGAGACCTCTACAAGTCACCGATGATACCCAACATACTGAGCATTAATAGCCACGACGGATGGAGACATGAAAATGGTCTGATGGGAAGGATTCTCAATGCTAATATATCACAAGTTGGCTCGATGAAGCTGCGAAGAAGAGATCTATATGCGCGACGATAAAAAAAAAAAAAGGCCGAGTATTTAGAAAATATCAACATTACCTCAAACCCTTATAGGATGGTATATAGGGAGTCCCCAGGACGTAACCCCACCTTCGGGGTAGTATACAGTATACTTAGATCACTACATAATCACTCCGTTGTTAGAAGTTGCGTAAAATCCGAAGCTGAGCTTGTTGAGAGAATATGCCGTCCCTTCGCAGTTACATGATTCGTCAATGGTAGACCGCTATTCCTTAACCCGGTGCGAGTCTGCATCTCATAATGCACGGCATATGCTCCCGCCACGATTGGGCGTTCCCCAGATGAAAATGTCGGTATATGATTTACAGTCAACATCATTGTAACCCTGTCAACTAATTATATAGTTGTATAGTAGATACCGACTGTGCGGTACGAAGCTTCCGATAGGTCAATAGTTAGTATAGAGGTGTCTTCATTTGACATCTTGACGTGTTGATAGTATAGTTGTTAAAGCCGAGTGCTCCCGCAAATCAATCAAGCAAGACGCCCGTTTTCTTCGTGGAGTCGATATTGTGCTTCCACCCAATCTTGTACAACTAAAGCAGTTTGTCCGCTCCCTCTTTGGGCTCTGCACATAATTGGCGTCTCCGGGGGGACTATTGGATGTGTTGAGATACAGAGTTTACCATTAGACTACACTCTTTTTGGAGAATTCAAATCGACTCCGAGAAGCCGTACAACATACCTGACAGAATAGGCCGATCAACAATATGTTTTTATGTGACTATGGAAGCGGGGCCTGCCACATTTGCTTGCAATGGCTATAGGTATATAGGAGGTAGTTTAGATTGAAGGGTCGAGGATAATATTTAATACCCCTAGATGCCCCCGTTCTAACGTGGGCATAACCGTCAAATAACTTGCACTATCACAGTTGCTTTGAGCACACTATGCGAACACATATGGGACCACCCAACCAAAGCGTGTACGAAAAAAGCCGTACCTAAACACTCGTACGGTCGTGCGACTTCGGAAACTTTTCGAACTATTCAGTAACCGGTTACTCCATCATGGAACCAAAGGTAACCCAACACGTACGCTAATCAAGAATTAGCAGCTGATAGGATAGATAGGTAGAAAGACAAGCTTCGAAGAACCAAGGCAGTAAAGCAGCTCCTCAAGCAGCCAAGCTCCCTTCTACGAATCAGCAACAAGCTTCAGGAGACGCAGACTTCTTGACGTTGAACCGTTTATGGGTGGATCGTAAAAATGCACTGGATAGTAGGTTTCAAGACGAACTTTGGTGGAAAGCGAACCCCCATAGCGAGAATATCCTAGAGCGCTGGAGGGTCCAATCGATGATAGATGGTCCATATCAAAACATAGAGTCGATTATGATGAAGACGAAGATCGATCAATCTAAGCACGTTCAGTCACCGAAACACGCAAAGGCCGTAAGCGAAGTAGCAGCTACCTCAGGATCAAAGTAAAGAGGGTCTAAGAACGCGAGAGAGAAGAGAAAATTGGAAACAGAAAAAGCGTTCAATATGAGACTATATTTGACATCTCTCAAGTCTATAAAGCAGGAACAGCAAGTTCTAGTGGTTCTCGTTGGGCTTCCCAAGCCAGCCAGTCTGACCTTGTGGTTCTGTATCTACCTGTTAGCAAATTCCAGCTATATCTAATTGTTCAACAAAGATAAACTTACGGTAATAAACCCATCGCATTGACCTTCCAAATTCCAACCGCTAACGCTACCAACTGCATCGCGACGTAGGCCAGCTTGGCTTGTATTATCTTGCCCTTGTTACTGTCGCTCTCGAACCTCTCAAACGCCTGGTTTGTGCTGATGATGCCCATGATGGGGTTTTTGAAGGCCATGAAGACCATCATTATGCTGAAGATCTGTAGCGAGTTTCCCGACATGTACATCATGATGGCTGTCATAGGCAAGCTCTTCACAGGCGCGAGTGCTACCTCCCAAGCCTTCTTCAATTTCAGCGTATCCATCTCTTCGGTCGTTGGTTGTTTTCGGGGTTGAGTTTTGGCTTCTTTTGATGCTTGTTTCTGTTCATGTGTCGTCAATATAGGCTATGGGTGCTTGGGTACCTAGATAATAAGATGATATTACCTTTGATAATGCAGCTGACTGCGATGGGTAGCCGGGAGGATCGGGTATGCTATTATTCTTCGACCTGGAGGTTGGGGGTGATTGTAAATCAACAACCCATTTAGGGACGGAAGGATCGGTTGATGACATTGTTATTGATTTCGATATTTCTTTTGATAATTATTTATTGGATATTGTTTGGTATGGCGGTGTTATGCAGTAGTATCCAACGTCGTCACTTAGCTATGAAGGTTCTAATTGACTTTTAGATGAAGTTGCGAATTAGGTGTAGAAGTACAACGTGGTGATCCACAGCAGCCGTCATGGCGGGACAGGATGACAAAGCGTTGGCTAGACGTTGTTTACCTGCCCAGTTTACCTAATGAAAAGCTACTAAGACAGTGGAAGTATAGAAAGTTTAGGATCCACATAGCCCGTTGTGACCCGAAATCAACCCCTGCAAGCGCAACTGCAGCCGAAGCTTCTAACTTTCCGCTCTTCAGGGGTTTCCCTTTAATTCTTACATTTACATTTTAGAGGGGCCCGAACATCTTCCTCCGAATGCGATATTCATATTCCCGATCATGTCGATTCATAAATCTCATCAATTTAATTATCTTTCCCTGAAATAAAATGTCATTACATTCGACCTAATTTGACTACCCGCTGCACAAACACACAACAATCTGCGGGCCAAGATCCTGTACGCCATTACATTCGATCGCCCCTCCAATACCAGCTGTTTTCTTGAACCGCCATCAACCCTTGCGATTGGATGGTTGCATTAATAGGCTTCTTGAAGAATACCTAAGTTAGGTATGCTTTTTAGTCAACCAATATTCCTATCCCTTGCCCAGAGTTCCAGTGTTCCAATGTTCCAGTGTGAGGGGTAAGCCACAAGTTGGTTTGCTTCCTTGCTTTTTACTCCCTGTTGTGTTCTCGTTGCGCGCTATATCAACTGACCTCAAGCTCCTATTCAGCCAACCAGCCGATACGTCGAAAGTACGACCAAAAGAGGCAATTCCGACAAAAGCAGACGCCAACTATAAACAACCATGTCGAGCACCCAAGTCGGAGGGGACTCGAAGCTGTTCGCTCGAGTAAGCCCATTTATATTTCTTTCTACGCGACACACGAGTCTCATTATTATACCCGTCACTTAATCCCATACCTCCCAATTCGTTGGGGCTTTTTCTTCTCTCGACGTCCTCTTCCCTAATTCTATAAATTGGAGGTCGACATTCTCTACCCATTTATCACCTTTCGCCGAAGCGTCTTCGTCTTGACGTCTATCTTAGAAAGGCACACGTTTCGAGTCGTCCTGCGATCCCAACGTCCCTTTGGGGCCATCAGAACACATTATGATCCTACCTACCTTACCCGTCGCGTACAATGGCCATGTTTCTAGCATATATGCCCCCGGACTTTGGCTTACGACCCATGACTCTGCAGGGGAAAGTTGCCGAGCTGCGACTCGAGCTGAACGCCGGCGGAAAGAAAGATAAAAACTACACGCAGAAGAAGATCGCCCTGAAGAAGATTGTCGCGAATATGACTATGAGCAACAATGAGATGGTCTCCCTCTTCCCCGATATAATAGGCTGCATGCACATCCAAAGCCTGGAAATTAAGAAGATGTACGTCAATACCGATTTTCGGAGCCAAGCCATTGGAGTTGGACACTGATGAGGACGGGATAGGTGTTTCTTATTCTTAGTCAATTATTCGAGGATGCGCCCCGAGATTGCGGTAAAAGCAATCCCGTTTCTACAACATGTAAGTATCGCGACGAACATGATGCGTTATGCCCAGACATGCGATTAACATTCGTATAGGATATGGAAGACAACAATCCGCTCGTCAGGGCTTTAGCTCTCCGAACCATGTCATACGTTCACGTCAAAGAATTTGTCGAAGCTACGGTCCCTCTTGTCAAACGCCTACTCAGAGACTCCGATCCCTACGTACGAAAGACAGCCGCTTTTTGTGTCGCGAAGTTATACGATCATGATAAGCACATGGTTGAACAGTCCGACCTGATAGATAGGCTCAATCAGCTGTTGAGAGATGACAACCCTACTGTCGTAGCGAGCGCGTTGGCTGGGTTGATGGATATTTGGGAACGCAGCGACTCCATCAAGCTCACTATTGATTACAGCAATGCCTCTAAGATGGTAGCAATCCTACCAGATTGTTCTGAGTTCGTATATTTCGCCCAGCTAATATTCAGTCTCGCTAACATGAAACCAGATGGGGCCAGACTTACATCCTCGAGGCTTTAATGTCTTATGTACCTCAGGAGTCAGGGGAAGCAACTTTACTGGCTGAACGTATAGCGCCGCGGTTATCACACTCGAATTCCGCTGTGGTACTCACTTGCATTCGTGTAATTCTGTATTTGATGAACTACATCGCAGAAGAGAAGCAGATCTCGGCCTTGTGTCGGAAACTGTCTCCGCCGCTTGTGACGTTATTAGCAAAGGGCCCAGAGGTGCAATATCTTGCTTTACGGAACGCGCTCCTCATACTTCAGAGAAGACCAGATGTTTTGCGTAATGATATCCGTGTATTCTTCTGTAAATACAACGATCCGATCTACGTCAAGGTCACTAAGCTCGAACTGATATTCATGCTTGCTAATGAGAAGAATATCGATGAAGTACTAACCGAACTGAGAGAATACGCGACGGAAGTCGACGTGCATTTCGTTCGTAAGGCAGTGCGAGCCATTGGCAAGCTGGCCATTAAGATTGAGCCGGCTGCGAGACGGTGTATAAATCTGCTACTCGAACTTGTCGCGACGAAGGTCCCGTATATCGTCCAAGAAGCCACTGTGGTTATCCGCAACATATTCCGGAAATATCCCAACCAGTACGAGTCCATCATTGGTACGCTTTGCGAACATCTCGACTCCCTCGACGAGCCCGAGGCAAAAGCTGCAATGGTCTGGGTTATTGGGCAGTACGCAGATCGCATCGAGAACAGCGACGTTTTACTCGAGGACTTCCTGTATTCCTTTGCGGAAGAACCCGTAGAAGTACAACTAGCGCTACTCACGGCCACGGTCAAGCTCTTCATTCAGCGACCCACCAAGGGCCAGGATCTCGTACCGAAAGTCCTAAAGTGGGCCACGGAAGAAACCGACAACCCGGACCTCCGGGACCGTGCGTATATGTACTGGCGCCTCCTCAGCACGGACATGAATGTCGCGAAGCAGATGGTCATGGGCGAGAAACCCCCCATCACAGCCGAGTCTGAGAAGCTTGACCCCCAGACCCTGGAGGAGATGTGTCTCAACGTCGGCACGCTAGCCACTATCTATCTCAAGCCCGTCCAAACCGTCTTCCGCAGCGCTCGTCCCCGCCGCCTCCCCGACTCCCCCGCCCTGCAGAAGCACGCCCTCCCCTCCGCTGCCAACTTACCCGCTTTTGAGGCCCAGAAGAGCCTCAGTATGTTCGGCATGGGTGGACAACCCGCCGTCTTACGACCCGACAGCAACGACGGCGTTGCTCGCGCCCAGGCCACCGATGCTAGCAGCAGTAACAGCGGTAATGGTCCAGACAGCATGGCTAACGCCGTCAGCGACGCGGACGCGTACTTCGCTGGTATCGGCAGCCAGCAGATGGCCGCCATGGGCATCCACGAGGCGGGCGATTCGTCCTTCGGCGGAGGCGGAAACGAGGCTTCCTACGTCGTGAACCAGTACGCACCGCAGCAAGTCTTCCAGCCCGCGCAGGGTGTTGGAAGTAACGGCGACTTGCTGCTTCTATAGTTATTCGTACCTATCCTTATATACTTGAGCGTACGGGAATAAGAGATTCACCGAGTGAGGATGAGAAGAACGAGTGCAAGAATGACAGATAAGTGAGGTTAAGTGTGGCGAGGATGCAGACGAAAGAAACTAATTGACCTAACCTACCTACCCAAGGGTAGATGTGCAAATTGTCGGGTATATGTAAATATTACCATTGTCAAAATTAGAGAAAGTAAGCATGCAAGCATAGGGTACTGATATTTTGAGGACGTGTACATCAATCAGAACATAATCTTTTTTTAGACCTTTCGCATCCTACGCTCATAGACATAGTTGCTTCATCATCGTGCTAGTCAAGTGTTTCGAAATGCTCTGATATCAGATCAATGAAGAATTCAATTAGAATGCGTACAAGTACATGCTGATCCCGAGGATCCTTCATAACGTAACTAGAGAATTAGAGCCATAACAAGCAACGTGGCAGCGACAAACATTAATATGCGGTAGGCGAAGGTGCCTAGCAATCTGTGGTCCAGCTCCCAAGAAATCTCGATCATTTTCATAACTTCTCTCCCATCTCAATCTCTCATCTCCTCGTCCTCCTACCGAATGTTATCTCAACAATCAATTCTTGCTAGTAATCTCCGTCTGACATAATAAAACACCGTTTAAGTCGTAATCTTCTTTTTCGGATTTTAGCTTAATGGTTACTGATTTATCAGTGACAGTGGCTACAGCATCCGGGTTGAGCCGGCTCTAAGTGGCCATTTCTATTTGTACTATCGGGGGTCTTCTGGAACCGTAGATTGTTGTCCATTACTATCATCCCCAAAGGTATTGCCTTTGGTCTCTTTGGAAGCACTACGACGAGCGCTGGCAATGCTTGATGCTAATCGTGAAGGAGACCAACCAAGTAGAGTTAATAAAGAGGGGCCTATAGCTACCAGGGCCGCCGCGATGAGTAAATGGTATCGGCTCGGTGTAATAACGGAAACAGCAGCGTTGGTATCTGGGACCGGCCTAGGAGGAGTGTGCCCCGTTACCGTGTATATTGTATTGGTACTAGAGCTGGCGTGTGGCAAAGAAGATGACCTGGTGACTGTGGTGTAAACGTAGTCTTCAGTACTGTGAGTAGTGTAATGTTGAATACTATTTGACGTAACTAGGAGTGACATTTCCGGTGTAGGGTCCAATGTCGGGTCAGACGTCGTAACAGTTTCTGTGGTATTGTATTCTGGCGTCTGTGAAACTGACTCACCCGTGCCAGTTACGATGACAACAATAACTTGTGCGGGAGTGGTGGATGAACTGTAGACGGCAGATGAAGTGTGGTATTCTAAAGAAACAGTTACGGTTTTAGGATCAGGATCCGGCACCGTTACAACGCTTGGTTTGTTAATTGCAGGAGTCTGATGGTTGCCATACCCACCAGGAGGCAGGTTTGTAGGCTTAGGTGGGTTTCCATAGCCTCCGTTACCAACAGGTGTTGTACTGGAACCGTATCCGTAGCCATAGCCGTCGCTATAGTCATCTCGCCGAGATAGTCTATTCTCCTGTGACCATGGTTCTAGGCACTTGGGGTCTGCTTCGTCCAAATGACATACTTCCAGAAGCCCATCGTCAAGATAACTTTGGGGAGTTGCCTCAGTTATCTCGGTCACAATAGGATTGTGTGTGAGTGATACCAGATGAAGGGTTAGATCCACTAGCCTCTTCACCCGTGCGAGGGGGTAGAGAGAAGATGATCCGGATTGAGTCACAGTGGTGAGGTCCATATCCTGTGTAGTTCGAATCTGATGAGAGGGTCCCTTGTGGATCGTTGCGAATGTAGACAAATTATAGAGGAGTTCAGACACGATGGCATTGGTCTCTACGGCTGTACCAACTGTAGTGGTAGAAGCGGACTCGGGCTGGAAAGGTGATTCTAGAGCAAGCTCTTGGTTGCTTACAATGACTGTGCACTGGGCAACTCCATGGCATAGTGCCAGAAGGCCGAGAAAGAGTACACGTGCCCAAACAGCCATAGTGACGCCTCTTTATATTTCGATAAACGAATAGAACCTGGTTGATTCAGAATTGTAAAGGAACCATCTGTGAGTTGAAGAATTCACAGGAGACGGACTTGAGATAAAAAGGAGGCGAAGACGAAAGATTGGATTGAAGTGTGAAGAGTGTGAAAAGTGTGACGTTTCAAAAATGTAGGACGTGTCATCGAAGTTGTAACTTTCACATTTTGGGTCGAGAAAGATTTGGTGCTGCTGCCTTTACTGTTGAGATCTTGGGAAGGTGCTGACCTTGTATACCTTGAAAATATCAAGCAAGAAGGCAGCCGCGGTGAATAGACATGGCAAGACCGCTGGTTTTGGAAGTCACATAGAGAGTACTTGAGGTAGGTAGTTATAATTCGCTGCTGCTCTATATGATTATTCGTACTTTCCCAATGGAATTAGACAGGTACAAATTTGATGTATACAACGATGCACCTACCAACACATTGCCACATACACGTATTCAGATTCCTACCTATGAGATTCACTCTTGCCGAGGCTGTACACATCTTGCCTATGCATCATAAAAACTTGAGACTATACGCATCGATATGCGTTACATATTTGAATCATTCAACCATGACTCCCGCTTTCCTCATTATTCGACCAAGCTGAAAGTTATAAGCTCTTCTGTTGTTTCATATCAAAAGTCTTCTATTACACTAACATATTTTACAGCAGCTACCTACAGAGATTACGTATTAGATCCCGATTCCATAATTTTGCTAGACGTGAGTTGCTTCAATGGTTGTTGAATGAGTGCGCCTTGTAGCAAATTATATTAAAGAACAAGATGCTTATAGAAATAAGGACAACAAAAGGCATTTGTGATATGAGATATGTATTAACATGCTTCAGCGAATTGAAAAGTAAGGGATAACTCAAAGCTGATTATGGAAGTGTAATTATCTCGTCTGTTCTTAACTGCTTATCTTCCACCCAAGAGGTAGGTAGCCACACAGTATTTCTTAAGGTATACAATTATATACTTAATTCAACATATTATTACTGATATTTTTGAGTAACTTGCTTAAGAGGTACGCATGTGTATTGTTTTGAAGACCGAGGTCTAGGGAGAAACTTTCGGATAGTCGGTCGGGAGGGAATATATTAGTAGTTGCGGAGCCGGTCTCGGTACACCTAGCCGACGGCATGCGGGGATAATGGCCTCGCTGCAAGAACGAAAACAATGGTCTGATTACGTGTTTAGCACCACGCGTATAAAAAGACTAATTTTATATCTTAGCCCATTCAAGTAAAGCTAAAGAGACTAAAGGGACTAACGCAATCAACTCTGCATGGTGTAAGTATAACTGATTCTGTTAGAGCTTAGGCCCTGCATATTTGTGGGCGCTATACAACGTATTTAAGGAGGTAGCTATTAAGACATGTGATAGTGAGGGGACTTAATCAATTCTAATTTCGCTGTTATGGATGGGGCTTATTGGGAGATCTATTCTAAAGGCCTTGGTATGCAAGCAATTGGTAGATTGTTTAGATTTAATATCTATCTGGGTTAGGGGAGATATGTTATTGGTAGCAATGAAGAAGCGGTGTATAATAAGATAATAACATGATGACTAGGGTATCTTAAATAATAGTTGAAATAGGGGTTCCCATGACGCATATTGTTTATCTATACACATAGTAGTTGGCATAAGTAAGGTTGAGTTTAAGTGGTATAGTTCATGTTAGGATCTTATAAATACTTGAGAAGGGTATAATCCATGACTGCTTTATCATGTCTTGTCTTATATGAACTTACAACTGACAAGACTTAGGAAGCGTTAGTTAGATAAGTAATAGTATAGTTCAAATATATAAGTTGAAATGGACGAGATACATAATCAAATTGTCTTGTTACAATCTGAACTCGATGATGTTCTTAAACTTCGGTGACCGATCGATGAAGGTAATGGAGGTAAATGTGGAGTGTGGGGAAGAGAACGAACGCTATGTGGTACTAGGATACAGGACAAGGCGGGGGAGTTTACCGTGCCGAGAAAAGAAAGATCCAATCTGTCTCCAGCTGTGTGGTGCTGGACCACTCGTAGATGATGATCATACGTGAAACTCAAATACTCGATGTAACGCTTCGATGGTAATAGCGTTGACGAAGTTGTCACTTGACCGGCTATTCGAGTTTAGCGAGCCTCAATGCGTGTCTCTAGACCCAACTATATCTGGACTAGATACTACCCAACCTCTATTGAAATTCGACTTTGGAAAAGCACGTCAAGTGTACAGGTGATACTAGAGATGATAATGTTAAGAATTAAGAGAGCCACATTTTGTACATGCGGATTTTCCCTCTTTCCTTGTTGTATGGTAGTAGGACCCGAACCTTGGTTATCTCCATATTATTACCGTCACTATTACATGATGTACATATTCTGTACCTGGGGTGGCTTGGCTGTGTGTAGCCATTTGGTTTCTTTGTTAATTTCGCGTGTATCTTTTCTAAATAACCCGAGGTGGTGGAAGTTTTAATGTCTGTGCCTCAACTGAAATTTTAATCGCAGTTGTGCGACTTTTAATACGCATATGCGAACGCGCAGGAAGATAATAATAATAACAAGATACGACATGTATATGTACCTGTCTATTTTTACCGTTAGGGGGTTCAGCTTCGTATCGACCACTAAGAAGCCCGTGTCACGCTTATCTAAGAGGCAATAATAACAACCTGAAATAAGGGGCATTCAAAACCACCTAAAACCATTATTGTACCTGTATTACCCCAGCTGGCAGCAGCCTGGTTAGCCAGTTAGGCCAGTTTACTAGGTAGTCAGCGCCATAAACATTAGGTACTGAAAGTTGATCGACCTGTTCTTATTCGCGGTTTTTTCCTAAAAGGCAAATAATCGAGCTGCTATGTTGTCTTGTCACAATTACTTGTGAGAGACCGGCACTCAACAAAAAAACCTCGACTTTTCGTTCGTACCTGAGATTTTTAGTTATCCTTGAAATTGAAATCTGAATTAATCTCAGCCGTCCCTTTTTTTTTCCTTCTTGTCCTGCACAAGGTTAAACCTGCCAATCCGGTCCGTTAGACCCGTGCAGTGCAGTAACATCATCACCATCATTTTTTTTTTTAGTAGCAGTGACTGGCTGCATCCCTCTCCTATAATCACTTATCACTGTTTCCCCTTGCAGAATCAACTTGCAGTATCAATTCGGCAATCTCTCTAAACCATTGCATTCGTTTCATCTGCGTGTTTTCCATGGCAGGAACAGGAATAAGCGATAGCGACAAATAATAATTAAGTGTACGCAATTGTACTGCATACCCGCGCGTTCGATAATTCGACAATTCGACAATTCGACAATCCCGACAATCCTTCTTTTGAAACGAGGCGCACCTTTTTACACCTTTTACACCTACGAAACGCACCCCTCGAATGCTGCTGACATCCATTCTTTTTCCGGTTATTTCTACTCCATAATTGCGCGCAGCCGTCAGCATCTGCACGACAAATTTCGATATACCGGCTCATTAATTACCTTCCACTCGGTCGCAATTAATAATGACGGATGTAACGCCTCCCTCCGCTGGTGCAGATCAAGGGCCTAGGGAAGAAAGGTTGGCGATTAATCTACCTGTGGGCGATGTCGAGATGGAAGATTTATCTCAAGCTCAACCTAAACCCGCCAACCCAGACGCCAATCTAGATGCTCCAGAATCCCAAAAGCACGATTCCGAGTCTACACCGGCCCCAATACCCGTACCGGATAAGGATCCGCCGAATGACGAGTCCATGTCATTAAAAGCCAGTGGCAAGACCCAAACCGGCGGCGAAGATCATGATCTGTCAATAGACCCTGTCGACCCTGGTGCTGGGTCTCCAAATGATGATTTGGTTGTCGATATAATGCTTCTCTTAACCTCGGGCGCCCGACATCCTTTTCGCATTGACGAAAAATATTTGGCAAAGCGGAATGTTACTGTGACGGGCAAGACAGATGATGGAAAGCTGGATCCGTTCAGCATCACGGTTTATACCCTAAAAGAGCTGATACTGAGAGATTGGAGAAAAGAATGGGACCAGCCACCAAGAGAACCTAGTGCTATAAGGCTTATTCACTTTGGTAAATTGCTCGAAGACAGAAACCAACTTAGCCGTACGTATAATCTCCCTTCTTTCCGCACTATTCGGGACATATTTGGGCAATGGGATACTGAATTTTACAGATTACCACTTTAGCACGACTAGGAATGTTGTTCACATGACTATCAAGCCGCAAGACTTGATAGACGAGGAAGAAGCTGCTAAGAAGGTCAAAGAATCCGGGAGCCATACCGGCCGCAGCGGATGCTGTGTCATCTTATGATCTAGTCCTTCTAAGCGACAACTGATTTTCAAAGAGCGAGCATCCTCTCGATGTGGTGATATCTTAAGCTGTTCTAGAGCTGTCCGAACTATTGGGGAGCAACATAGGCGAGTTGGGCAATTGGGCATATGCTGCGGAAATGATTGCGGATTTTTTTTTGGGCATCGGACGGCGCGATAGGGTTGATTTCAGCGGCTGAGATTGAAGCGTGATCCATCTGCACGATGCGTTTGCTATGTCATGGGAGATTAGAGTTCCCTCTGAATTTAGCCTGGAGTACACAACATCGATGGCTCAAGAGGGGGGAATAGGGTTGAGAAGATCTCAACAACTCTTTACGTGCTCTTTTTTGCTTTGTTTTTTTTTGTACAGCACTAGAGAAACAGGCCTATATCCGGCGCAGTTTGTTGTGTTTATAGTATTTGCACTTTACCGGTCTTACCGACCATATAAGCGATTAATGTGGGTTATTATACCACTGTCTATACGTTAATATGGATCTATTGTAGTCATATAGCTGTTATATCATTGCGTTAGGTCATGACTATCTTGTGAAAATTTTCCAGGGTTTCCAAGTTTTCTAGGGTCAAATGCCCATAGATTATCTATTTCATGATATGCGTCGGTATTGTACGTAGTAGAAAGCATGCTCCGATTCATGTCTATCAACCCGAAGCTGCTACTAGTGTAGTTGGAGTGTCTATCACGCAATACCAACTATTTGTGCTGATTGCCAAGATGCTACACCGGACTGTCCCTTAAATCTTCAACTTCCGCTCCATCCTCATGCATAGTCACAGCAGATCGCTGCTCCTCACCAGTAAACACATCCTCCCAGTCGAGCGTAGCCTCGCGGCCACGTAGGATATCCTCATGCACGCTCTTAATACCGGCACCGCCGCCGAGAGCTAGCGGCCGCCACTCGCCGTTGCGCGTGATCTTGAGCTCCATGCCGCGGCGGATAGGCTCCGCCATGCCGAAGGTGCGGCGCAGGCTCTCCATGCGCAGGGCCTCCTGTGTCGACTCCCAGGCCTTAAGGCGGGCTTCGAGCGGGTGGCGCGAGACGGGCGCGGGGGACTCTGCGGATAAGGTGTTGGGGCCGATGCCGTGGCGGAGCGTGTCGTGGATGCCGGGGGCGGACGGGGCGGATGTGTTGGTCGATTTGAAGGTGCTGGTGTGGGCTGAGGGGGGGGGGGACTATGCGCATTGACTGTGAAGAGGGATGTGGTTAGTTTTTTGATGTAGAGAGCGGAAGATTGTTTAATGAATAGGTAACTAAGTATAAGTATGGCTTACCATCTTGTCGGTGGAAGAGTATTAATTAACTCTTGTTTTGTTATTTACGTTTTCGTAAATATTTATAATCGTCAACTCCTTTAGGTCGAAATGTTTGAAGAGAAGTTGTGGTTTGGTAGAAGCTTGGCAAATAGTAGTAAATGTGCTGCGTCGTTGATAGTGGATTCAATATGTAAAGGAAGCTTGAAGCAGGCTGCCGGGAGCTTTCGTATTTGGAGCCTTGCCAAGCCCGGAGGTGCAAGTGCCAGCAAAGAAAACTAAGGCGGTCCTTGCGTTAACTTTAAGTTACGTAAGTCTTGCCGGAACTTGTGGACCTCAAACCTCGTTAACACCGAAATATCGGATGTATTCAAATTCGAAAGCTGCATTCAAGCATTTAGGCATTTTGATATGAATTAACGAGTTGACTCACCAGCTTTCTCAGATGCAACAAATTCAGCTTTATAATTATTAAGAAGTTTTATAATGATATATAATTGACATAATGCGTTTTCCTTCAAGTCGTCCGCCGGTAATAAATATTATCAACGGCACTTTTTACCGCCATCATCCAGGGGTGAGCTCCATACATCCGAATCCGGCCCTGTTTAGAAATTTGAATTTCACACTTCCATCTTCTACGGAGCCACCGACGCATTGGTATGTAGTTGGTCCGTCCCTCAGTGGGAAAACAACCTTTCTGGAACTCCTTAAAGGAAGTCACCTCTGCTTCCCTCCAACTGCTAGGAGCTATCCTTATTTATCTACGGAAGCAGTACCTCACCGGTTGAGAGTACCGCATAAAGCAATTCGGTATGTAGGCTTCAATAACGATGGATTCAACTCTAGCGTCACCACCTCGGCATACCTATCCGCTCGTTATGAGTCCAAACGCGAAAATACCGATTTTTCCCTAAGGGACTTTCTACTGGGTAACACTGAGCTTAACCCGTTAAAACCATCGTCCGAAGATGAGCTCGACCCGGCCTTACTGGATCGAGTGGTAAGAGACTTGAAGCTTTCTCCGCTGCTGGATCTTCCCGTTACGTTTCTGAGCAATGGTCAAGGGAGAAGAGCTCGAATTGCCAGGGCTCTTCTCACCGCACCAGAAGTGTTGTTACTCGACGAGCCGTTTATGGGTCTGGACCCGCCTACAGTAGCCGGGTTAAGTCCGCTTTTGCACGGGTTGTCGAGTAAAGCTAGCCCGAGGTTGGTATTAAGTGCCAGACCGCAAGACCCAATTCCCGATTGGATTACCCACCTGGTCTATTTAAGAGGTGACTGTCAGGTAGGAGCAATAGGCGAGAAGGATGCTGTGCTAGAAGAATTGAGGGGCTATGTTCGGAGTATATGGAACGGATCCTCGAAAGAGGACGAAAAACCTACCGGTTCATAGTCTTGTGCAGACGGGTAGAACACTAACTGCCAAAGGAATCCAAGGCGAACCGCTAATGGGTGAAGATGCCTCGAAAGGTCACAAAGCCTCCACTATTAGGGATACTGGCGTACCAAGGAATATTGGAAAACCTCTTGTGGAGATGGATGGATAAGGTGAAGTATCGGGGGTGGTGGAAGTTCGTACTTGGAAATTGGAAGCAGCAAATAGACGGTGGATAGAAGAACGGGAAGGCCTTATATGGACTGTCCGAAGAGGAGAACGGTGGGGTGTATTTGGGCCCAACGGTTCAGGCAAAACCACAATTGTTTCCCTCATCTGCTCTGATCATCCTCAAACGTATTCACTTCCTATAAGCTCTTTGGTAAAAGTAGGCTGCCAGAGTCCGGATCCGGTGAACTACCTCTAACTTTCTGGGATATACAATCACGAATTGGACACTCAAGCCCCGAGATCCACCAACACATGCCCCGGAATCTCACGGTTAAACAAGTGGTTGAAAATGCGTGCGTGGGCAGACACGTTTCGCTCAAAAGCTAGGCTCGACAGCCAATCCGCAGAAAAAGTCGAGGCTTGTTTGCGATGGTTTGAGGCTGAGTTGAACCCAGCTTTATAAGACACTCAGAGCCTACGTCCGATGGTGCGCAGGAGGCCACCAATTTGCAATGGGCAGACCAGTACATGTTTGGAGAATTGTCCTTTTCAGCGCAACGAGTCGCGCTCTTCCTACGAGCCATCATTAAGAACCCGGACATTGTCGTCCTAGACGAGGCATGTAGTGGTATGGACGACGGCGTCCGGAATCGCTGTTTACTCTTCCTCGAGCATGGTGAGGAGAAGGCCCATTCGAAACGCGAAGACGGTTCTGAGATTGTGGTCCAAAGCGAGGCATCGAAGTCGGGCACCGTTAAAGTCGGAGGTCTAAACAACAACCAAGCTCTAATATGCATTAGTCATATCGAGAGAGAGGAGATCCCGGACTGCATTAGGGAGTGGATATGTTTGCCTGAAGCCAATTCAAAACAACCTGCCAGATTTGGCATATCCGAGGCACCTCTTGGGAGGAGCGACGACAAACAGCTGGAAACAGATATGGGGCATGTGAGGGGGCTGGTCCAAAGATTTACTACAAAATATTTACTTGACTCGAACTATATCGTGTTTACTTTACTCATGATCATCTTATGAGTAGCCCGACAAGATCTAACGTTAGGTACAATAGGCAATATTTGTAAGTCTGGCTTGGATGGATTATATCTACCAATATAGTATAGGCAGATTACGTGTCTATTTGGGGTTGTAGAGGTACAGTTGTGGATGTTGGATATTGGACATTGAACATTTCGTGCAAGGAATAAATTCGCCGAAATCCGGATTTAAAGAAAATCTGGAAAGGTCTGTTTAAAATAAGCTGCAAGGTACGAGCGGTACGTCAATACGTCAAGATTTAAGCGCTGCGCTATCGAAGATTTAGGTTACCGTTTGACGTGGGGAATTGGGGCGCAGGCTCACAGGCTGATTCGTTGCTGGGCAACGCACAAACGATGGCGCATCCCCAAAAAACAAAGGTCTTGTTAAGGCTGCCTTCGAGGGCCCTTTTTACGCTTTACGAGCTACATAGCTCCCCACCGTGGATCAACTCGAACTTACACCTTGTGACACCTTGTGAACTCAATTCGCGACCTTTTTGAAGATTGGAGATTTTATGAACTTTGTTGACATTTTATACCTTTTTTCAATTAGTGATACCCTCTACGCCAATCCAACGAAACGAATTCGCTATCTATCCAAATTAATTAATTTAAGGAGGAAATATTTAGGTGTTACAGCTGGCATTCCAATTAACAATCATACCAACGAGTTGTCTTAAAAAACAATCAACTCGGCATTTTGGCCGATAATATTTAGCGATGGACGGAACTCCCCCTCGACCGTCATACGCATTACCCAACTACGACGACGACGATCATGATCACATTACGCCACGGGTCAGGAGGAAACCCAGCAGCAGTCAGATTACTGACATCTATGGAAGAACCATTACCGGAATCTCGACCGTATGTGCCTCCAACCGTGACAGATGCACCAATGTCCCCAACTCTTGTCCCTCTCCCACTAGCTCCTAAGAAGGAAGCGAAAGTAAAGAAACGGGTCAGAATATCAACCCCGGAGCACTTGGAAGAGCTCAGAAAGCAAGAGGAAGCGCATGCGCCGACTGCCCCTCCTGGTGGAGAATAGTCACCTTCACCAGCAGGTGACGCGTCGCTCAAGCGCAAACCAGCCCAGAAGCGCACCGCCACTGTAAAGTTACAGAAAAAGAAAAGGCCCTCTCATGAACCCCAAGGCGAGTTCAAGCAGGATCTACCGACGATTCCGGAAGGGCCATCGCCAAGAAGAAGTTCTCTTCTCAAGAAGAAATCACCCAATAGAGACAGCAGCCCCCCGAGTGACCCCATCAACCCTGATAACAATGGCTCACCAAAAGCACTTAATAGTATTCGACCGTCGCCTCGCCGAACGTACCAATCATCAATCAGATCGACACATTCTCGAGGGTCCTCCATCCTCGACCCACCTCATCTCGCGCCGGTAGATTCTATATATGAGGAATATCGATCGCGAGATACAAGTCCTCCTCGACCTTGGACTCCATCTTCGAGGATGTCCGGATTCACCGATTACACACGACCACCACCTTCAAGTATGCAGTACGAACCAGCAGATATTAATGGTAGTCCCAGGCCGGGAACACCGTCGTCAAGATATGGAGGAAGCCCTCGCAGACCACTACCTCGTGCTCCACTGTTTGGAGCTCGAGACTCTCGTTATACGGCGGATGATGCGACTGTAAATATTCCTCTGGATGGTGTCAACGATGATGTATTCGGGCCCGAAGAATCGGACATAAGTGGCGCGTATCCATACCACGACTCATATGCTGGGCAATCGCAAGTCACCCTTAGTGAGGAAGACTCGCAGGCGCCCCTAGACGAGAAAGTCGAACACTATGGTTCTGCGCCAGAAGGGAGACAAGAGCGCCGTGGCGTCCGCGCCCCTCTCACATCAAAAAAGGAGGTGCAGCTAATTAACGGTGAGCTGATTCTCGAGTGTAAGATTCCTACGATCTTGTACAGCTTTCTGCCTCGCCGCGACCAAGTCGAGTTCACTCACATGCGATATACGGCTGTGACCTGTGATCCAGACGATTTCGTGGAAAAGGGATACAAGTTAAGACAAAATATCGGCCGGACAACTCGAGAAACAGAACTTTTCATCTGTGTTACCATGTATAATGAGAACGAGGTTGACTTTACCCGCACGATGCACGCCATCATGAAAAATGTAAGCCATTTCTGCGGCCGCAACAAGTCCCGCACATGGGGAGAGAATGGATGGCATAAAATCGTCGTCTGTATCGTGTCAGATGGACGAGAAAAGGTTCACCCGAGAACGCTAGATGCGTTGGCTGCGATGGGTGTTTATCAGCACGGCATCGCCAAGAATTTCGTAAACCATAGGGCCGTACAAGCCCACGTGTACGAATATACAACACAAGTCTCATTAGACTCAGACCTCAAGTTTAAAGGTGCTGAAAAGGGGATCGTACCCTGTCAGATGATTTTCTGTCTCAAGGAAAGAAACCAACGGAAGCTCAACTCCCACCGTTGGTTTTTCAACGCCTTTGGGAAAGCCCTGAATCCCAATGTTTGCATCTTGCTCGATGTTGGAACGAAACCCAGCACAAACTCTCTATATCATCTTTGGAAAGCGTTCGATACCGATTCAAACGTCGCGGGCGCCTGTGGCGAGATCAAAGCGATGAAGGGAAGGCTTGGGAGCAACCTCCTGAACCCCCTAGTCGCTTCTCAGAATTTTGAATACAAGATGTCTAATATTCTGGACAAGCCTCTCGAGTCTGTATTTGGCTATATTACGGTATTACCCGGTGCACTGAGTGCCTACCGATACCACGCATTACAAAACGATGAGACAGGCCATGGACCTCTCAGCCAATACTTCAAGGGAGAGACGTTACACGGCCAGCACGCTGACGATTTACGGCGAATATGTATCTAGCTGAGGATCGTATCTTGTGTTGGGAGTTAGTTGCAAAGAGGAATGAGAGATGGGTGTTAAAATACGTAAAAGGCTGCACGGGCGAGACAGATGTGCCGGGTAAGTTTCTACCCATCTATTCAAACTCAAATACAGATATAACTAACCTGCGCCCTAGATACTGTTCCGGAGTTTATCTCTCAGAGACGTCGTTGGCTTAATGGCGCATTTTTCGCTGCTGTGTACTCGCTGGTGCACTTTAAGCAAATATGGATGACGGACCACACCATTGCGCGCAAGGTGCTCCTTCATATCGAATTTGTTTATCAGTTCATACAGCTCTTGTTCACTTTCTTCTCCCTTGCGAACTTTTACCTAGCTTTTTACTTCATCGGTGGTGGGCTTACGGATCCCGCCATGGACCCTTTTGGACACAACATCGCCCTATACATCTTCACAGTACTGCGGTACACATGTGTGCTCTTAATCAGCATGCAGTTCATTATTTCGCTAGGTAATCGTCCGCAAGGAGCGAAGAAGCTCTATCTTGCTAGTATGATAATATACAGTATTATCATGGTCTATACCACTTTCGCGACCATCTTTATCGTCATCCACACGGTCAAGGGAGACCAGATATCTCTTGGTAACAACACATTTACGAATCTAATCGTGTCGACAGCGTCGACAATCGGATTATATTTCCTCATGAGCTTCCTTTACTTGGATCCTTGGCATATGATTACTAGTTCGGGTCAATATTTTGCACTATTGCCCAGCTACATCTGCACGCTGCAAGTGTACGCTTTCTGCAACACGCACGACGTTACATGGGGTACCAAAGGAGATAACGTCATGAAGACGGACCTCGGCGGGGCCGTGGGGAAGGGCAGCTTTGTGGAACTGGAGATGCCGAGCGAGCAGCTGGATATCGATTCGGGCTATGATGAGGCGCTCCGCAATCTTAGAGACCGCGTGGAGGTGCCGACACCACCGATCTCGGAGGCGCAGATGCAAGAAGACTACTATCGGAGTGTACGAACATACATGGTTGTTAGCTGGATGATGGCTAACTCCATCCTCGCCATGGCCGTCAGCGAAGCTTATGGATATAAGGAGGTTGGTGGTAACTTCTACCTGTCGTTTATCCTATGGGCAGTCGCGGCGCTGGCGTTGTTCCGAGCCCTGGGTAGCACGACGTTCGCTATCCTGAACGCAATCAACATGGTCGTCGAAGGCCGCGTCCGTCTGAGTCTCAAGGTACCGGAATGGGTCCCTGAGTGGATGGGCGGGATCGGAAGCAAAATTAGTGATACGATGAGCAGCATTACCAGTAGTGTGCGGTCGTAACATGTGGCGGTATGCGGTGACATGTGGCGGTATGCAGTGACATATGGTTTCAAGGATTGGCAACGAGAAAGGCGAGCGCCAAGGGACGGTATGTTTTCGATTCATGACGGTTTCATTTTGGAGGTGCAATTACTTGCTCGCACCGGCATTTCAATGGATGAACGACTGAACGAAAACTTGGGGCCCATGTGATGCCCGTCTAGGAGTTGTGGTTCGATGGTAAAGGACAGGTTGGGTGTTTACTGCGAGGTATAAGACGAAATTCACATGTACTCTAGTTTTAATTACCGTGTCGGTCAGGTCTGGGCATACCTTGATGTCAGGCTTCCGACTCGTTGGACGGGCTATGTAGGGAGGGCAAAAGTGGGAAATGATACCTCATCTCTTGTTCTTGTTGTTCGGTCGTGTTGCATCATCGCAGGTGGGAGGGTAGTCTTTGGGTTATATTAGAAATGATGTAGTAGTTCTCGGCATTAGTTTCCTCCCGAGTCGCATTGACGACTTCAAAACTTCAATCTCAATGGCGTTACTTGTGTAATGTGATATGTAGCCAAGTCGTGAATCGCGCCTTTCTGTTGGGCCGGTAGAATCTGGTGGTGGACATCGAATATCCAGAGAGTATCAACTATATAAATGCCGTAGCACTCGAGTATTCGCCTAATGATATCATATATTAACTTTGTCTTTCGAGATCTTTATAAAATCCTCTGTCCAGCTCCTTGTAATCCTATAATTCAAAGACTCAGCCTTGTGCAACTTGATATAAATATCTACCTCCTAAAACACAAAAAATGCCTGCACCTGTAATCGAAAAGGAATATAACGGGCGCCGCGTAGCCCGTAAGACGGCTACCGAACTAGCCAGACAATATGCCGACCTCATCGAGGGTAAAGTTATACTAATTACAGGTGTATCGCCCATGGGGTTAGGGGCTGCCTTCATCGACTTCATCGCACCAATGCGTCCCGCTACGCTAATTCTCGCCGGCCGTAGTCCTAGTAAAATGCAACAAACAGCAGACCATGTTTCCGCAGTATCACCAGATATTAAGGTCCGCATGGTAAAACTGGAACTTGAATCTCAAGCTGCCGTACGCTACGCCGCTGCTACCGTCATGGAGTGGTCGGACGTTCCTCACATCGACGTTCTTGTCAATAACGCTGGCGTCTGTGCTATTCCCAGGGCCGTCACCGAAGACGGTTTCGAGAAGCAGTTTGCGGTCAACCATCTAGGCCCTTTCCTATTTACAAACCTGATAATGCCTAAGCTTCTGGAGTCCGGTGCCCCTCGAGTCGTTAATATCGGTAGTGATGGTCACAACCTTAGCCCGATCCGGTTTGAAGACCCAAACTTTCGAGTAAGGCTCCTTATTATGAAACCATGACCCTATCTCGATATACCTACGGTAGAGTGCTAAACATAGAACCCACAACCCAGGATGAATCGTCCTACCACACTTGGATAGCTTACGGTCAGTCTAAGACTGCTAACATGCTGATGGCGCTCTCGTTGGCTGAGAAGCTTGGACCGCGGTATAATCTCCATGCTTTCAGCGTGAACCCGGGAACCGTCCAGACGAATCTTGCAGCATTCCTCGACTGGAAACGCTCCTTTGCAGATTTAGGTAAGCAAACTCACCTCCCGGAGGCCAACGTGCTGCTCCGAGTACCCCTCTCTAGTCCCTGACAAATCTAACCCTGAGGGGTATTCTAGCCAAAACATCTCGTCTACTGGGCCTCGCCGGGGGCTGGAAGCAAGACCGCGACTTTCAGACCATAGATGAGGGTACAGCCACTTACGTGTACGCTGCATTTGACCCAGAGATCACGGGTGAGTGGTTACCAACCGTCACTGTTTATACATATATACATACCTGCCTGCCTGCCTTACCTACCTACCTCATATATGATTTATCCCTTTTGCCAAGACTTTCCCTCGCGGAACTTACTTGCATATGCCTACATGTACTTACATATACATGCATACCCGCAGCCCACAACGGCGCACACCTCCTGGGGTGCCGCCTAGCCGACCCCTGGAAAGACGGGATTAGGGCCTGGGCGACGAGCCCCATCGAAGCCGAGTTGTTGTGGAGGATGAGCGAGGAGTTAGTCGGCCAAGAATTTGTGTACTAGGTAGAAAAATATCGGGACCTGATTAATGATCGCAGTATATAGACGTGTGCTATACAAAGAGGGTAGAGCGCACGTTAGATGGGGGTAGTAGTATAATGTGGGTGGAAAGGCTCGATGGTTAACTGGTTATGTTTCACCCGAGGATCTAAAGGAGGGAGATAGTAAAACCGACAAAATTACAAAAAAAGAAATTGTATTGGTCAAAAAAATAAAAAATAAAGAAGAACATTCTTTGTAAAGTGTGTGGTGGTGTGAGAATGTTATATATTCTATTCTGATTGGACGTTTATATCCTTGCAGACTGTTCGTTTTTATGGAGAATACCTATGTTTTCTATCCTCGCAACGTTCGTGGGGTGATATAGCTAAGGGTCCTCAGGATATAAGATCGCGGCTAGTTGCATTCGTTAGATATTGATATGAAGGGTAATTGGACCGATGCGTCTCGAGTTCCCATGAGTTGAGACACGGCACGTTGATGCGCGAAAAAAGCCTTGACTTTGCCACCAGGATAGGAAACTTGGATCGGCGTTTTGTTAACGCCGGACTTATACAAACAACATAATATGCTGGATGATTCGTTTTCTTTTTGTCCCGCATTCCTCCGTGAGGCTTCTTACGTGTATAAGATGACTATTCTAGGTAGGGTCCGGAGTCTTTAGGTATGAATATATGAATCATGTTACATATAGCCAAGTGTCTCGGCTGGAGTCGGTGGTATTCGTTACGGCTGCTTCGTTAACCGGGTGTTTGTAGAGACGTATTCTTTGCCGACATAGTTAGTTGCGTTTACAACAACAGCAGCAGCAGCAGATTGTCAATATTTGGTGGCGTTTTTTACCCCATGTCTCTGAAATTATAAATTTTCAGCCTTTGGGAACTACTAAGGAGCTGAGTTTTAGGTTCTGACAGCTTGCAGCTCTTACCAGGGGAATTCGATGAGATCTGCGTCATCATTATGCACATTGAATCCTGCTTCTTTATGAGCATATAGTCACGAAGTATGCATCTTAAGGATCGAGTGTTAGTATGTCAACCACCGTAACGTATAAGCGAGCCAGCAGCTCCTTGTAAGACCATCGTGAAAGGTGGGAATGCTGCAAGTTTATTACCTTCTGTCCGATGCTGCGCCGGTGCTCAATAGTGCACTATACTATTAAACTTGAATTCTGATCGGAGCCACACGTACCGATACGCAAATCTGCGACCTGGAGTGCATAGAAGATCGAGTCGTTACGTAAGGGAGCACATGTGAAGAGGGAACCCCTTTTTGCTTTTGGGGTGGCCATTTAAGGTCTAGACGGTTACTGGAAACCAAGCCGTTGATTTCTAACGCAGGGTCCAGTCAGCACTTGTCTCGGGTCTTTCTTTTCCCTCTTATCAGTCAGGCACGATATTGACAATAGTTGAAAGATCGGCGCCTTTCGACGCCGACAAAGGTATGGACTCGAGATTGATATTCACTTGGCAGACGTGGAGGAGAAGATTAATCTTGGATCCCTTGATATTCTTCACTACATATCGTAATCCCTGAGGTTATAGGAGTCTGGACTAAATAGATTCAAGAGCCATGGTCTACCTCGCACTGACCAGAAGTTCGGTTCCTCGGTTCTTTGTCCAAAGACAGTCGAGGAGCGTCGAGTTACCGCATTATGGCAGACCAAGTTCATCCCGACATATACTCGCTTCCAACAAGACCACCTAACTTCGATAGGGTGGGCACGTTCTACGTTGCATTCTGCGCAACATGGACGTTTCTCTTGATTCTCGGCATGATATTTCTAATAGCAAACCGTAGTAATCCGATTCTCAAGGTCCGCGGTATAGGCTTGTCTCTTACCGCAATCGCCTTCCTTCATGTGTACTGGATTCTCGCTCAGATTACCTATCCCATCGGGTTAACTATGCCCATCATAGCCGCTTACACTGTGCAGTATTTCTTCATGGGTATTTGGTTCCCTTTGGGCGTTGCTATGTTCCATGCCTCCAATACCCGCTTCTTGTATGTTGCAAAAATGCAGAAGCGATATACGGAATCGACCGACTTTCAAAAGAAGCCGGGCTGTAATGGAGCAAGCACTTCGTGGCTTTGTCGCTTGAGAAACTTGGATTATCCAACAAGGATCTTGATTTATATCGGTTTGGGTATAATAGTCCAGGTATGTTTTACAGTCGTTTTCCTCGAAACACCAGACAGCTTAATGCTAATATCTTGCCAGATCCTTCTTACCGTTGGCATGTGGCTCGCGTGTAGTAAATACCATCCTGCATTCGGTATTGCTGGTACAGGGCTTCCCAATGCCCCGCTCGAGGTACAAATTACAGAACTAGGTCGTGGGTGGGAGTGGTGGCCAACTGCTCTCTGGCAGGTTATATGGACATGGATAGTGAGTTTATTAAATATACAACTCTGGTAGGGTCTAATGTTAACTGAATTAGATAGCACCCATCATGATATGGAAGGCTTGGGGTATTCGAGATACGTTAGGCTGGCGTTTCCAGACGATAGGATGCTGTCTCTCCAAGTTGGTCGTCTTTACGTCGAAAATAGGCTTTTCATTTACTAACAATCCCCAAGTCTTCACGCTACACCGCTGTGGCTTATATCGATGTATGTCCCTGCCTTCGAACCGGTCAATAAGTATTTCTCTTCAAGTGAATGGTAAGCATCTCGAAATTGGAAATGATAGTATTAGGTTACTGACGAACTTAGGATTCATCTTTCCGTTACGATGTTCGAGATTTTTGCTGTTTTCGTTCCTTGTTGGTTAGTCGTGAGGCATCATAGCCTACGCAAACGGGCAGCCGAATCAAACGCAAGGTGGGACACCGCGTCGCAGACAACCCTTAGGAACTCCACAACTGTGCAATGGAAAAATGCCTCGCATATGGAAAAGGGCCTCACATTAGAATTCCTGGATCCTGAAATGGGCGACCGTCTATTCACCATGAACGCGCTTGACCACGTATTAAATGAGAATCCGGGTCCGCTACAGGAGTTTTCGGCACTGAGGGATTTCTCAGGAGAGAATGTTGCGTTCTTGACACGAGTGGCTTCTTGGAAATCATCATGGCCTGATGCCACAAATGAAGACCATGTTCGCGATGTATTCACTCGTGCGCTGATTATTTACACAAGCTTCATTAGCCCTCGAGACGCCGAATTCCCTCTAAATCTCTCATCGCAGGATCTCAAGCGCCTTGAATCGATTTTCGAAAGTCCGGCGCGAATATTGGTATGTGCTATTCAAAAGCATCTTCTCTCCTTATTCAGGCGTCATAGACATTCACCCCTGAAACATATCTTAGACCCCTGACTCCACACTTTGAACAGTTAATTGCTAATAATTACCATTGTAGTGTGGTGAAGCACGTGTTGATCCAGCCACACCATTTGCAGTCGACGGCTCCGCCAAGGAACAGGGACGTAGTGGTGATGATTGGATCGAGCTGTCGGAGATGGCTGGTAGAATACAGTATGCGGGCGAGATATCAGATGCCTTCGATGCTACTGTGTTCGACAGCGCGCAGAAGCATATCAAGTACTTAGTCTTGACTAATACGTGGCCAAAATTTGTGACCGAGATACAAGAACGGAGACGTTCTAGCGAGTCGGGGCCCAGCGACCGCACTGGGGGGTCTCACTCGTCACTAGCGAGCCGAATATCGAATTTGATACATGCAATTTTCTAATTATAATAAAAAGGCGGTTCAAATGTTATCCAGGGGCGGTTTTTTAGTAATACCCAAAGGTTATTGACACTATTTTGAGCGAGTTTTGTCATTGGAGCTTAACATACGGCGCTGAAAGAGTAGAAAGTTTTTCTAAGATTTATATTGCCGCTTAAACAGGTAGACAGACTACGGAGGCCAAGTTAAAAATTCTTTAAATAAAAATATTCCTAATCCGTAAATAAGTAGTAGCTTCAATTATCTTTTATCATTCAAGCACATTATCGATGATGTTGGCACTCTTGCCTCTAAAAGGTTCCATGGCGTAACTGGAAGCGGATAGGGGTATGTTAACTTACGACCCAAGCTTGCATAACACTTGAACTAGAATTTCTATTTGCCATGTTGCAGAGTCACGTATCTAGATAGGTACCTAATATAATTAAATCTATAAAGGTTTTGGTGTTCCAGACGGAATAGGATTCTCAAGAGCATCTGGCGGTAAATCATCACGCCAATACTGGTATATCGACAGAGTGGTACCCGGTGCAGTGCACTCTTCTAGATATTGATCCGAAGCTAAAATGATAAGTATGAAATCTATTATTTCAACCTTTATTCTAACACTTACAATTTGTATCGCACGTTAAATTAGCGAGTTGAGTCTCTGCGGTTCCCTTGAAAGCAATACTATTACATGAGCTCATATTAGCTTTGTTCTTCCGAGACCCTGTAAATAATCATCAAGTCACTCACGGATACTCCAGGGTGACATCGTCACAGTACCATGTCTGATTGATAACCAAGCGCGTCGATTTTCTGTCGAAGAGCACATCCGTGTCAACGGTATAGTATCTCTCAGAACCCGCCGGTGGCTCGACATCCTCGTCGCAAGACGTCCAAAGTTCATCTGGATTGCCCGACTCAAACTGGCTAGGGGTCAATTGCGGACCCGCAATATCGCAATGTGTAGTGACATTTGTTGCCCGGTTGGTCACATCGAGCTGGAGCCGTCCGACAAGAGGCGGGTTACGCAACGCATACTTAATATTCTGTACATTGAACGTATTTGGGGCCTCCGAAGTCGCGGAGCACAGAGGCGTATCGTGACCTGCTGGCGGAATAGCACGTACAAAGACTATGTGCACACCAACTATCGCCGCCGCAATGGATCGCAATTTATTTCCCATTTCAAATTCGACTTATATGTATCTTTTCTGAGTTGCGCTAGATGTCGAATGGCTACTAAAAGACGACAATAGGTTCACCATGCTTACACAGCTGAGAGAGGGCTAACATTGGATTTATAACTTTCCTCTTAGTATTATATACTTCCATGTTAGGAATGCAATGAAATGCATACGCTATCATCGAGACCAATAGGTATTGAGAAACTCCCTGGACCGTACCCCACTCTTGTATGGCTGAAGGCTTATTATCCGGCTTGCCCCTTATTGATGCGGTGATAGACAACTTTACCTGATTGCTGCTTCGGCAGTTAAAATGGAGTTGTAATTTGATTTTCTTAGAGATTGTGCTTTTTTACTTCTGTATTTGCCATTAAAGGGTGATTGTTATGGCTCGTACGAGATATCGACAGCCGTCTATGCGAGCTTGACACGCTGGAATAGTCTATACGACGATATACCCAATCAGAATTAATGGTGAACTTTTGGACAAATCAAACCACTTAGATTCTGAGAGATACCCCACCGTATCAAGTTACCAAAACCCTAGATACGGGAAGATTCCCAAGAGCTCAATTTATATAGTCTTGAATAGAATATAGAAATATCTCTATCTACCTACCTACGTAGATAGGTACTTAGGTGATTAATTGCTGCCCGAAGGTAATATCCTTAAAAGCATGACGGCCATTTAGTTAAGTTAGGTACCTAAATTATCAATCTCTACAATTTACCTAACATAGCATTTACCTTAGGTACCTACGTACTCTACCCCTTAAATGATCAGACAATCAGCACCGAGGCGTAGACTAGGCACAGGCCACCGCCACGTTTATCTTCAAAATTCGGACTTATAATAACTAGCAATTACCTAAGGTTACAATTACTTAGCAGCAATATATTCCATCCTACCAATAAAATGAACGAAGCGCTTTGCTCTATCCTTTCAATGGAAGATAGATGGTCATTTGATCTTGAGGGCAGGTTTATCAAATTTAATAAAGATGGCACTGGTGAGGTATGTAGATTCAACGTGCTTCCTAAGATATGACCTCCTTTATTAATGACTAGAAGTTGTGGTGCCGCTGCAATTTTAATGTTTGGATCGCTGCAGAGTTCGAGTGGAGGAGCGTCGAGCCGCCCCGCGACCCAAGCCGAAGCACAGAGGTGCCAAGCCAAGTCGCGAGTGGCGCCCCGGGCAAAGGTCCTCAACCCCTTGGCCAGTTGAATCTCGAAATAACTCTTACCAAACGGTTGCCAGAAACGGTGAAGCACTCTATTTTGTCAAAGAGCACCATGGTAAACGAGAAAAGTCTTACAGATGAGGCTTTTTACCCCAAGTTATATACGGTTAGAATCGAGAAGGGCAACTTCGTAGAACCCTGCTATATCGGGTACCCTAGCTCGGACAAACCAAGATTCGCCCTTCGCCTGCTGTTTGATAAATCTCCATATCCGCCGAGGTCTGGATGGAAGAGGCCGGAGGAAGGGCCGGACGGAGGTCAGTTTTGGGATCACGTAGAATTTGTTGGTCGAATTTCACCAGAGCTGGTAAAGAAAGGGGCTGTTATGAACAATATATCTACGGGGTGGTGGGGCGGATGTGTGGTTTCTTAATCATCTATACTTTTAATATTCATTCAATGAATGAAGTAAATCAAGTGTATAATATCCGGCATATTAAGCGTTACCAGTTACTGGTGAAGTCTGCGTTATACGCGGAATAATTTCTTGTAAGATCAGCATGCGAGGAAAATCCCATCTGTCGAGGTCATCGTCTTCCTTATCAATGATATCAAGTATTTCTTGCTCCAAAAGCCTTGCTTCTAACTCTGACTCTGACTTTGGTATTACTTCCTCCTCCTCTTCTCCCTTTTATGGCTCTTTTGCCACATTTTGATAGTAGACGCCCTTCATTTTCTCAGATTCTGTGAAATTACCCAAGTCCACACAGTATTCAGGGTTGAGATTGTCTATTTTGTAGGAGTCACTTAAATTATTTTTCTTATCCTACTACTGCAAGGAAATTTATGGCATCCCCTTCGCGGTAGACAAGGCTAAGATTTTGCGTTATATATGAGATCCTTTCAACCTGCTTATAGTATCCCATGGCTCCACTCAGGCAGTAACAGCAATGCTTTTCCTGATTGTTTGATTATTATAACAATTATATCCACATTATATAACTAGTGGTTTGCAGTTAAAGCTACCAATAAAGTAACCAAGACGGTCACACCGTAGACATATGCCCAAATATTTAAGGGATAATCAACTTGTTAAATAATATACGCTTACGTATGAATACGATCTGTCATTTTATTTAGACCTATATAAACCACAAGTCTATTTTCTATAACCAAACAACATAATCCAATATAACTTATTCAAGTACTAAACAACAATCTGCTTTAACATGAACAATAAGATCTTAATCCATGGACCATTTTACCCACATAAATTAACGACAAAATGTTTCTCTGCAACTATCTCCATCTCGTACTTTTGCCACCCCTACTCCGTCCACTCTGCCTTACGATACTTGCTCCTCGCTGCGGCCAAAGAACTCACACCAGCAATAGAAGTACTTCCTAAAATATGAAAGATGGCAAAGTCGACTTGAAGCTCCTTTGCAAACCAGCTGCGCAGATCAACAGCTACAAGCGAGTCCACGCCATAGCTGTGCATCGGCTGGGTAGTATCGAGCTCCTCTTCTGGTAGGGAGAGTGTATCGGCTAGCTTCTTTATGAGTGCCTTCGTCACGGCAGCACTCGCCTCCGTGAGCGATGACGCGGCGGCAAATGCCGTCTTAAAGTTAGCCACATCCGAGGAAGCTGTGCCGGCGCCTCCGTTTGACATGTTGGTGAGGATTTGTCGGAACGACGGCTTTGTGAGCCAGTACGCAACATCCGTGTTTGGCTGATCAGCGGTGGCGTCGTGTACAATGGTCTGGCAATCCAGGGAATTGACATAAGACTCCGCTGGATTGCAGTAGTAGTCCAGCAGCGCAAAGAGCTGTGGTTCGGTCATGGGGTTGAAAAAGGACCTGGCACGGAACTTTTCCAGCAACGACTTGTCCCCGCTAAGGACGCCAGCCGAGAGGAAGAGGCCGAGGTTGATGGATGCAGCTCGCTCGCCCTTGGATACGCGGTACTGCGCGAGTGCGTCTTTGAATGTGTTGCCCGCGGCGTAGTTGGACTGGCCTCTGTTGCCGATGATGGCGGAGATGGAGGAGAAGCACAAAGAAGTCCATGCTATTTGGAAGCAAGGAGTGCAAATTCCAAGACCCTTGGATCTTTGGCAGCGTCGATTCCTGCCACGACTCAAAAGTCATGCCCTCAAACATGCCGTCTCGAAGGACCATTGATGATTGGATACAACCTCTCACGGCAGGCATATCTTTAAGGCACTCGTCCAAGGCAAGCCTAAGTGAATTTCTGTCAGAAATATCGCATGCTGGGGTCTTTACTTGGGTTCCGCTGCTGGTTATCTTGGCGACGAATTCTTGGGCCTCGGTGGACTTGGCACCGGATCGTGAAAGGAGGATGAGATGCCGAGCGCCACGCTCAATAAACCAGCGCGAGACGCTTCGACCTAGGCCTCCAAGGCCTCCTGCGATTATATATGTCGCATTGGTGTTAAATTGGAAGCTTGGTCTTACGTCTAGAACAACCTAAAAGCTATTAGCAATCGCTTGAGCAACTTCGGAATGTAACTTACATTGACGGTATCATCTGGCCTAAATTCAACCACAACCTTGCCGATGTTGTCTCTACTCTGCATGGTACGGAAGGAATTTTCCATTTCAGAAACGCTATAGACCTGGAGAGGCTCCGCCGGTTGGAGAAAGCCGCTTTCGACAAGAGGCAAGACATCTTCCATGGCCTTGCGAACAATCTGCGGCCGCTCTATGCTCATAGCAAGAACATCGACAGCTCTGAACGTGACATTCTTCTCAAAGGAAGACATTGTTAATTTACTATGAGAAGTAATGTCTTTCTTTCCTAGCTCGATAAATCGGCCATAAGGCGCGATGCACTCCCATGATGCTGCTAGGCCCTCTCCAGAGAGGGAGTTGAGAATGACATCTGCTCCAGCACCCTGTGTAAGTCGTTTGATACCGCTGCAGAAGGCTGTCTCGCGGCTTGAGAAGATGTGTCCGGCTGGGATCTTATAGCGGTCTATGAGGAATTGCTTCTTCTTCTCAGTGCTAACGGTTATGAATACTACGGCGCCCAGGTGAAGAGCTACTTGAATAGCAGCTTGCCCTGTGGCTCCGGCGCCGTTGTGTATTAAAACTGTCTCTGCAGGGCTTAGAATAGCTACTTCTTTGAGTGAGTACCAGGAAGTCGCAAAGTTGAATGGTATAGCTGCGGCGGTTGAGAAGGGCATGCTGTCTGGGATACGGACGGCAGACCGAAAATCAACACGGGCGAAACTCTTGAAACTATCGAGACATATAGCAGCTACACGTGTACCTACGGTGAGACCTTCACAGTGCTCTCCGCATCTTGTTACGATTCCTGCGCATTCTGTGCCAGCGGTACGCTGATTTAATCGGCCCTGGGCGACTAAGACGTCGCGGAAGCTGACACCGGCACTCATGACTTGGATCTCAATCTCGTGTGGCTTCAACTCAGCAGACCTCCCAACGTTGTCCTCAACAAAGTGTAGGCTGTTCAGAAGCCCTGGCGTGCCAACGTTTAAACGGAGTGGGATACCATCTCCAAACGTTGCCAGGCGCCTCTGATGCGCAACTTGATGCTCATGAAGTCTTGTATTCAATCGATTGGCTGAGGTGAGACGTGGAATATGGAGTAGCCCCTGGTCCTCAACGTACTCGGTGTCTATCCCTTCAGAGCTAACCATCAGCCTTGCTAACTGTAGAATGAATTCCCTTCTGCGGCTGTTTATGCATCCATCCGTATCTAGGGCAAGAGAGACAAGATTGACTCCCACAAGCTCTGAGTGTAAGACTCTCAGCAAGCCATCGATAATGTGGTGATTTGGGTCTGGAGAACGGAAGCCACCTCCCCTGTTTACCCAGATAAGTCGAGGTGAAGAGGTTAGGAGTTTTTGAAGAATTCCAAAGAGCCCCGAACTAATGCTAAGCCACACGGGGTCATGAAGCTCCAGTAAGCTGATAACCACCGTGTCTGGACTTATTGAGATATTTCGGGCCTGGTCCAGAGATGTGAGCTGAGCCGATAGGCCTTTGGCTTCGACGCCGCTCTTGAATTCATCTGCTTGAACCTGTTGCGCCTTATCCGGGCCATGAAGAATGACGAGACTGGTCTTTGCCGCCGTTGTTGTAGGGGTTTCCGGAAGCCTCGTTGAGATTATGACGCTATATGCATGGCAGATCGGATGTTTAAAATCATCTAGCTCTATCTCACTTCCCGAGAAACCGTTCTTGAGAAGTAGTTCATTCCATTGCCTTTTGTCCATGCATGGACTATCTTGACGATACTCTTCGGAGCCTTGGTGGTGTTTTTGTTAGCTTCAGTTATCACGAAAATGCGAAAAGTCACATACTAGACCACCAGCTTTCTAGAAGACCAAAGATGAAGCCTGTGTGTATAGCACCAGGTTCGATGTTTTCTAACAGGATAAGCTTGCCTCCACTGGTTGGCGTTAGCTAATATCAATTCACAATTACATGAAAAAGAGCCTGACTCACGGGCGAAGTAATTTATGACAGTTCTTCAATGCCATCGTCATGTCCGAAGTGGTGTAGGAGATCTGATAATTAGTATCCTATCCAATATGTGTGCGGGGGCTCGTATAACACATACCATGGAGCAGAAAATGATATCGTAAGTTCCATCTTCGAAACCTTGGGCCTGTGTATCAAGCTCGATATCGAAGGTCTTAGGTTGCATTCTTTGGTATGAATACCTGTCTTGTGGTCCGTTTATACAGAAGCCAGAGTTATAAGATGAGACGTCGACGTAGTCAAATTGACCGTAACGCGGACTATTGCTGCTATCTTTATAATCCACGAGTGTGTTCATAAGCTGATCAATCATAGCTGTAGACCCAACTCCCAACTGGAGAAACTTGGCTGCAGGGTTCTTATGCACATAGGCATCAATATAATGGCCAAGGCTCTTGAGACATCTCATACGTTGGCACTGTACGTTGTTAGTCTCTTGAAAATTCCCAACCTGAGAATATAGGCTAGTAAACTTACCATCTCAGAGAAGAGGCCTTCAATTGAGTCTCGAGATAGCACATCCGAGACATCAACTTGGCCTTCCAAGATATCTGCTAGCTTCTGGGCAATATTGGAATAAAGAAAGCCTTGCCTACTGGCTGAGGCAACCCTTTGTGCTAGTTTAAGTGCTTCGTTTTTAGGACGAGGCGCCCAATTTGGAGCATCGGTAATGGAATTGTGTAGTTCCAGCCGTTTCACTTGCTGGTCTAACCAATTAAGATATTTATGCATATGAAAGTTGTCTGCAAGTGCAGTTGAAGACTTGCTCTTGATTCTGTCATGGGTGTCCTTAATAGTCGTTGTAAGTAGAGTCTGTAGGTCATGGTAATGAGCAACGGGCTCATTACCCTCCGTAGCAGCAGACTCATAGTAATCTAAGACACTATCAATAGAGTTTAGGTCCAAGTCGGGCTTCCATCGAATGTTGTAGCACTTGTCCTGGATCTTCTGCTCTGAAACTTCGGAAGCATCCGCAGAGGCAATAATAGTCGTTCTAACCCCTTTAATCTCTAAGAGGACCTTTTCACCCGATGTATCAAATGCGGCAATGTTAGAAGATGTCTCACGAAGCCCCGTCCACTGAGTCCGGGAATGAACCTGGATAGAATCAGAGCTAGGGTGACTTAAGCCAGTAGCTGATATCCAGAGTCTGTCGATATACGTCGGGATGGCCGTAGACATTGTTTCAGTACCGCCCTTCGTATAGACGGCAAAGATAGTCTGAAAGATACCATCAAATGTAGTCGGATGAATTACATGATGCTGTGCGATACTAGCCCCTTCGTAACTAGACCATTGGAAAGTATCTACTTTTGATATTATGTGCTCTTGCTCGTCATAGGACATTTTTGTAATGGGACGGCATGTAGGGCCGTATCCATACCCACAGCGGGAGAGGATATCGTATAAGCCCGGTACGTTGACTGAGGTGTTGCATTTGCGGACACAGTCCCGATAGGTCTGCGTGTGGCTATCATTCCAAGCCTCCTGTTCCTTACGGGTGTCGATGTCGGCGTCCCCCGTGGCGTACAGAACTTGAATGCATCCATTGCAGTTTTCAATCCACTTGTCCCCGTCGAAGGTGCAGATGGAGAAATCAAACACAGGTGAATCTTTGGGATCTAATTTGCTCCTTGCCTTGAGATACGTATCGACCTCGATGCCTCGAGACGTCGTGGGGATGTTGAGTGCAGAATGGAGGCTTACATCCTTCAACACGAAGCCTGTGACCTCGCCTTCTGACTCGCCGAGCTGTTTCGCAGCCTCTATGGCTTTGACTATCATACCGGCGGCAGGGTACAAAATAGCGCCATTGATCTAATAAGTCAGTACATGCTATCGCTAGAATAGTTCAAGCTAGCAAGGGGGTCTCACCTTGTGATCCTCAACCCACGGTAGCTCTGAAATGGAGATAATGTTCCGCCACTGTGCCTGAAGAGGATTCCAGTCTTGGCTCGGCGTACCCAACAGGTCCAGCCTACCGAAACGGCGAAAGCGGCTATCCCTACTAAGCCGGCTTTCATACCAGTATTCCTTTGTATGATTAAAAGAATATTCAGGTAGGGTTGACAGTGCTTTCGGCAAGGTTGTCGGGGTGTTACCAGCCGCTGTTGGCCGGTTGACACGATCGAGGTCGAAGGTATAGCCCGCACAATGTAGGCGACCAGCGGCCTCGAGCGTGCTGTGGACAGCCGATACCTTGCGTCGGAGCATTGAAGTGTACGCGATGTTCTTTTCTTGGTTAATAGATCGAAGAATATCCCTTGCAGGTCCTTGAAGAGCAGCGTGAGGGCCAATCTCCACGAGATGGTTAATCGAGACCATGCGATGATGGCGGCCATCAAGTTTCTTCACTATACTAGATGATGACTGCGAACAGAGCCTTGATAGTGCATCTGTAAAAGAACCGGCTGTACCATGTTTTTTACCCAGTACTCGCCCTGTGAAAGATTATGGGGCTCGATCAACGACCCAGTCACCGAGGATATCATGATCGGAGATGACTTGTCCGGTTTCTGGCTAGTAAGATTACCAAGATAAGCAAGATACTTCTCAGAAATTGCCTTCATCTGGAATGAATGGTAGGCCACAGTGACCTTGAGTTTGCGAGCGAACACGCTATTGTGGTCCAAGAAAACCTGGAGACAATCTAGGTGCGCTGCGTCTCCAGATATTGTCAAGTTCTTAGGACTATTAACGCAGGCAATGTCAAGCCTAGTAGATCCAAGCTTGTCTGAAACACTTTGCAGATACGGCTTGATTTCTTCCCTAGACAGTCCTACGGATGACATACCCCATTTACCCTCCTCGTCGCTATTTCCTAACGTGGACGCTAACTTACCACGGAAATAAGCGATCCTCCAGGCTGACTCTCGGGTCAAGGCTTTTGCAGTATATCTAATATAGAACCAATTAGCTTCCAGATAGATCCCAGAAATGGTAATAAATTCTTACGCTGCTGCGATCTCACCCGAAGAGTGGCCGATCACTCCGGTTGGGCGAATCCCAAAAGACTCTAGGAGATCGACCAAGGCTACTTGAAGTGCCGTGCAAAGGGTTTGACTGTATTCGGTCAAGTTTACTTTGCTTTCAATTTCACTCCTTTGCAGCTCGTCTAACAGAAAAAGTAGTTAGGATCAAGGTTCCGAGATTGAAGATGATAAACCACCATTCTTACCTAGGAGATCCCATGAACATCCAAGTGTTTTCAAGTGGACACCAGCTTCAAGCAAGCTATTCATAAAGACAGGGTACCTATCTAGTAGCTCTCGTCCCATGGCAAACCACTGCGCACCTTGCTAGAGAAACCATAACTTAGTAAAAAGGGCAGATACACTTGGGAGCTGATAAGTTTGAAATCTTACCCCGGTGAATACAAACGCGAGGTTTGGCGATGATGCTGCTTTGACGGGAATAGAAAGTTGGCTGATGAGCTCGTACATCCTATCATGGCCCTTAGCCACTGCAAATGTCCGCCAGAGTAAATGTGTTCTTCGATACGCCAAGGTGTAAGCTAAATCTCGAAGATAGTTCTCCTTGTTCTCTTCTGAGGTAGAAAGCTGGTCAATATACTGCTTCCAGCTCTCCTTGAGGCGGCTAATACCGCTCTCATCAGCTGCGGACCATACGAGGACCTGTGTCTCTGTTGGATCCTCAAATTGCTGCACCGCGTCTACTCCAATCTTTGTGGGAAGTGAGCTGTCATTTGTATCATTATTTCCTCTATTACCACCGTTGAAATGATGAATTTTACCACCCTTATGGATACCGTTAGCTCCGTTCATTTCATTGCAGTAACCATTGGTGTGTCCGTTGCCATTAGGCTGGGCACTGCCTTCAGTTCTATTGGCACCATTTCCTATCCAGAGTTTATTTGCATGAGTGAAGCCCATTTGATAAGCGTGAAGGTGTCTCTGCATTGGCTCAGGCACCGTGTTGTGGTTCCCTTCTAGACCGTGTTGTAGGAGATAATTATATGCATCCTCTATGACCACATGACTGTTAGATCCACCAAATCCAAAGGACTGAACAGACGCTCGACGTAAGCCCTTGCAAGGCCAAGGAACTGCTTCTATTGGTACCTATAGCATGCTTAGTATGCTAAATAAATAAGTCACGAACCGAGTCAAGTTGTCTTACCTTGATATTCAAGAACTCTGCATCAATCTTGGGATTTAATCGCTCAAAGTTGGCATTGGGAGGAATTATCCCCCTTTCAAGCGCCAAGATCACTTTTATGACACCGGCTACGCCACTAGCTCCCTCTAGGTGGCCAATATTAGATTTTACTGATCCTCTAATGAATGATCAGCTTGGCTTAGAAGGTCTTAAGGTAGGATGGGCTGAATCATACACATAAAGCGGTTCCTCAGGAGACCGATAATGGCGGAAGACGCTACCAATGGCACCTGTCTCTAGAGGATCTCCTACGGGAGTTCCTAGGGTAATGTCAGTACCCTGAGCGTCTGACCTAATTCATTACACGGCACTGACCTGTTCCGTGAGCCTCAAAATATCGTGTTGAGTCCATATCAAGCCCCGCCTTCTTGTATGTAAAGCGGATTAACGACTCTTGTGCCTCTTTGCTTGGTTGTGTTAGACTTGGTGTTTTCCCGTCTTGATTGGAAGAGGAAGATCGGATAACAGCTCGAATTGTATCGCCGTCATCAAGGGCACGCTGCAGAGGCTTTATTACAAGGACACCGAAACCCTCGCCTCTACCATACCCGTTAGCACGATGATCAAAGCTGAAGCACCGACTGTCTTTGGAAAGGAAACCCAGGTTATCCATGGTAGCCATAAACTCTGGGTTGAAAATTATGTTGCATCCGCATGCGAGACCCTAGTGCAAGAATAAGCTAGACATTCTCGAGGATTTCTATGAACACTCACCATCTCAGAGTCCCCACCCCATATTGATTGGCATGCCAGATCCATTGCCAAAAGGCTGCTGGAGCACGCAGTATCTATGTTGGCACTGGGCCCGGCAAGATCGAAGAACCAGCTAACTCGATTCGCTAAGATACTCATCTGAGTACCTACAGTATCGTATTTTGGGGGTGCCAAGGGGTCTTTTGGTAGCAACATAGCGTAGTCGTTATTAAAGCACCCCGTGTATACACAAGTTTTGGTGCCTGCGATGCGTTCAATCGGGATGCCGGCATTCTCGATAGCTCGATAGACTGTCTCTAGCATGAAACGCTGGCTAGGGTCCATAGCTTCTGCCTCGGCAGCGCCAATGGAGAAGAAAGGTGCATCAAATGCTCCAAGATTGCCCTTAATGAAGTGGCCACCACGCATAGACATGGAATCTAAGCGTGATCGATCTGGGTGGTGAAAAGCAGAGATATTCATCCTTTCCATAGGGATATCGGTCGAAGTACATCGCTTTGATACGAGCATATCCCAAAATGCCTCCGCAGACGTAGACTCTTGGGGGAATCGAAACGACATACCGACAACAGCCAACGGAATAAGTCCATTTGATGGCATGGCCCTTGAAGTCGACTCCGACTCTCCCTGATGAGTCTGACGGATAGTCATCTTTGTATAGAGGTTATTGTAGGTGAATTAGTATGGACATAGATCTGGAGTTTCTCAAGCGTGTTATCAAGATGTTATAATTGTGAAAGAACATATCATTTTTCTAGACAGTGTGCTCAACAGACTACTTCGTAGCATTATTTTACTGAATATTTCATAGCTTATTTCATAGCTTATATGCCCTTGCTGTAAGTAGGTGCCCCTAAAGTCATTGAATTGGTAGTGGCGCAATTGGACCTTGCATAGTTTACCGCCGTCTCTCGTCGTGCTGTCCGCTATTTTATGCAAAAGCATACTCCCCTATCCTAAAGTAGAAGAGTCGACGCTCACCGACAAGAAGAGATGGCTGAAGTCAAACACAAATGCATCTTTCCCAGCCATCGACGTTGAATAGTCTGCGCCTTGCAGCCTCTTCTTAAGATATCGGCAGGTATCTACGTGATTCTTGGATGGAAATGTCTTTGGTACTTCCGGGCACCTGTAATGAGTTCCGGCCCAACTCAGGGGCTCAACGCGTTAGATTCGTCCGTTAGTTCTCGCGGCAAAATAAAACACATGCAAGATGGCCTGACCTAAACCTACCGGAGTCTAGATGATTAGCATGCATGCATGAGCTAACCGTCGGCCTGTGGCGTCTACCAAGTCGGATAGACTAAGTAGGGCTGGCGGACAAGACCATCAAGAGATCGGCAGTTGAGATAGTAACGTCAAAATTCGGCTGTAGGCAGTTGGTGGGTGCTTCTACTTATTTATATCATATCCTCATAGTAATACGAATCATATTTACCAACCGCGCAGCTAAAGATATCCTGTAAACTCGGCAAAATGCACTTTCTCTGGTATGGTCCGCAATACTGCTCAAGGAATACTTCTGACAGGTGGTAGTCTTCACGGTCGAGGCACCAACTCAAAGGTATGAAATTATTGAATGTTGAATGAGGAGTTGTAGTTGATTTTTGGAACATGAATAGGTGTTTGAGATGCAAACTGGTAAGTCGAGTCTTTGCAGGATTCCCTCGTGCTCACATTTCTAGCTGCTATTCGATATGAGCTAGGCGATCATCATACCTACGATTTTGTTGAGGGCGTAGTTCCCTGGGAGATTGATCCTGGTAAGTATCACCTAAGTATCACCATGGCCCAAGTTCAATCGAAAGATTTCGGACTAAATTTTTGACAGAGATCAAGCACTTACTACCGACTGGATACGAGACTTACACGTACTTTGACTATACTTCAGAGAAGTCCACCCGCAAAGCCGTAGACGACTTGGAGACGTTTCTGCAGACCGACGGCCCATACGACGGCGTTATCGCCTTCAGCCAGGCCGCCTCCCTTGTGAGCACCTGGATGCTCCGCCAAGCAAAAAAAGGAAAACATAGCAACCCTGGTTTCAAGTGCGCCATTTTCCTGTCTGCTGCTCTTCTTCCGTATGACTTTGAGCAGCTAGAGGAAGGTCACCTCCAGCTAGTGGCGACTGCGGAGGTTGGTGAAGCCATTAGCATCCCGACGGCACATGTATGGGGAGAAGAGGATCAATTTTCCGATACGGCGAGGGACTTCACAAACTTATGCAAGTCGGATGTTAGGTCTATCTTCATCCACAGAGGGGGACATGAAGTACCGGGAGCTAGCTCCAAAGAGGCTGTATCGCGCGCTGTCAACATTATCCGCCGGGCGATTCAGCTCTCGGAGGCGTCGTTTTAATGGGGATAGATAATATGTACGCCAGGTGAAAAACTGCTAGATTTACTTTTTTGAATTTATGCCCGATTCTTTTTTTAAAAACTTGTGAACCAGTAGTTTACCTTGAAGACGTTGACGCTATGTACGAGTTAAGATTAAGATTTTGTGAGACGTACATGGTTACGTGTACGTCTATATGATAGGAAGTCACGTGTTATTCAGACATTAAGAGATGTACCTTACATAGGTAATTACAACCTATATAAATATCCTATCACCTTTTACCCTTGTAATAAAAGTGACGTTTGCTGTATTGATGTAGAAGGGAAGATCTATGAAAGTGGGGAGAATCTATCTATAATTGGATTAGGGTGTGTGCGCGGCACAACCATTGGTCACATGACAGTATCACATGACCATAATCCTAACATGTTAAGTAGCTTGGCAGAAGGGCGTTAAAAAAGGTGGCATAATATCCCATATATAGTTTAACATTAGTATTAATTTATAACTTTAAATATTATAAAATAGTTAATTTTAATTGAAATAAATAATAAAATATTTTAAATAACTTTAATATATAATTTATTATCTTTTAATTTTTTTAACGTTAATTTAACGTTAAAATATAAAATTAATATATTTATTAATAGTTTTTTTTTTTAATTAAGTTATTTATTAGTTATTAATTTCTTAATTTTAACTATATTAAAATAGTTATAATATGTTAATATTTTTTTGATTTTTTTAATAATATTTTTAATGAAGTTAAAATTGGGGTTATTAAATGGTGTATAATATATTTAATTTTATAATTTTTTTTTTAATTATATAAAAGGTTATTTTTCTTTATATTGTAGGTTAAATTTTCGTTTTTTAAAAATATGTAATTATTATTAAAATACTTTTTAACGTTAAATATTAAAAATTTAAAAGTTTTAATATATTTTTATATTAATATTTTATATTATCGTTAATATTTATATAATATAATAAAAAAAAACATATAATTTTAATTTATAATAATTATAATATAAGTAGCTTTTTTTTTATTAAATTTAATTTATAACTTTTTTTTTTTTTATTATTTTTTTTTTTAATTTTTTATTTAATAATTAATAGTAAATATAGCGTTTTTTTTTTTAATTATATAAATTATCCGACTTAATTTTTAAAATAAAAATTTAAAATGAATTTTGTTAAAAAAAACCATATAACAATGTTATCATATATTTTATTAATATTTTATTTTTATTTCGTAATTTGCTACTTTTTTTTAACGATTAATATTTTTATTTAATAATATTTTTTTTTATTATTTGGTTTAAAAATAATAGCTTAATTTTTTAAAACGACAACATATCGTTTTATTATTAATAATATTGTTAATATTAACGTTATTTATAAAACTTTTTTAAATTAAACAACAATTATTTTACTTATTTAATTAATTTTTTAATTTAAAAAAATTAATAATACAATTAACGTTAATTTTTAAAAATCGTTATTTACGGTTTTTAAAATCTTTGGTTATTTTAAAATCGTTATTTAATCGTTTAAAATTAATGTTAAAATTAAAGTTAATATTGTAACTATTAAAATTAAATATAACTTTATTTTATCGATTTATATTAAAAATTTAACGGTTAATAAATTTTTTAACTTTAAATATATAAATAAACGCTTTTATATATTATTATACTTATTTCATTGGTTTATTTCTTTAAAATATTTTTATATATCCTATATTAAAACCTATAAAAAAGTTTTAAATTAATATTATTAATTTATTTTAAAAAAATATTTTAATATAAATTATATAATAAAAAAGTAAAAAAATTATATAAATAAATCTTATTTAATATATTATTTATTTACAAAATATTAAATTTTTATGTTATATAATTAATGTATTATTAATAATCTTAATAAAAAGGTTTACGAGAAATTATGGTATTAAAATGTAGCTTGTGGTAGTTGCGTTACCTTTTTTAACGCCTTTCTGCTTGGTCAAAGCCTACCGGGGGGGGGGGGGGGGGGGGGGGGGGGGGGGGGGGGGGGGGGGGGGGGGGGGGTATTTTTTTTATTTTTTTTGTTTTTTTTCTTTTTTGTTTTTTTTTTTTTTTCTTATTTTTTTTTTTTTTTTTTTTTTTTTTTCTTTGGAGAGGTCTTCCTGTGGTAAAAACTTTTGAAAGGGACATCCGTACTTGGCCCAAAATCTGCTAGCCACTTAATTATGAAAAATATTGATAGATTCGTCAGCTCTGTCAGGTGACCTCATAATTGTGTTTTCTGAGGTAATTAAGTGAATCGCTACAACAACACTACCTCATATTTCTAATGTGAACGTATCGGCCATGTGATGAATACACATTCCATACGTATACCTTTAATTTACATAATCGTTGCATAAAAAATATAATATTTACGATATACGATGTATATACGCTAGGTCAATTAAGTCAAGTTATTAACCGACGTTGCTGGCTGCTCCTTTTCAAAAGCAAATTTTAAACCATCGCAATTCGCATAGCGGTAGGAAGTCCACTTTTGCCAACTTGCTCGTCCTGTGGTACAACATGATTAATCATGCTTGCCACTAGTCCTATAGAATCCCGAAATTGCCTGGATGTAATCTTGTCAGAAGCTGAAAAGTGCATTCATTATTCGACAGAAATTTTGATCTGTATGGCTATGTCGATCACTATTTCTATCGCGTCTCGGGCAGCAAGTATCTTCTACTTACAACACATCAAGAGAATCTATTCAAAAATAGCGGTCTGCAGCTAAGTAACTCCGAGACAACAGGTCGGCAAGTGATGTAGTTGGTGGTAAAGATGGATCGAGCGATAGTGTGGCATAACCGTCCTCCTAGTGGCGGAAAGAATGTCTTCAGATTGGTATTAATACCACCCCTTAGTGGATGAGGGCATATAGAATATGTCAAAAATGCATTTCGAATAGTTAATCGAGAGCCGAATTAAGTTCGTACATAATCATAAGAACAATAGGTATGTCAGTTAGCAAAGGGTTGCAAAAGCTACTATAGCAAAATGTTAGTCTAATCCAGAACCCAGAATCCCCCAACATATATTTGAACGTTAGAAATACGATCACGAGATGACCTATCATGAAATATGACAACCTCAGAAATGGGACGGTATATGGCGGCGATCAGATATCCCGTCAAGCTGATTCATCATCCAACTCTACCAGCTTGAAAGGAGATAGGAGAAACTCTCATAGAGAGACGCTTCACATTAAGCAGGCAGACTCCAACGGCAACCACCTGCCTGATATCCCCGAGACCGAGGCTCTTGACTTTCAAAACAGTAGGACGAGCTACTGGAAGAAAGAATTGGAAGATTATGGATCTTCGCCCTTTCCCATACTGCCATTATCTGTGCAAGCTTCCTCTCCTAACGACACTACGGAGCACCGGTTTCCTCACTCTCATGGAGCCTCATCACGGACCGTAACCCGAGCTGCATGGGCTCTGGTTGTTAATTGGATGACAGGCTTAGAGGATATCGTCTTTGGAGTAGAAACTCTCACGGATGACGGCTCGAGCACTTCATCTGCCACAATAGCACCATTACGAGTCAGAATAAGACGTAATCAGCGAGTGGTTGACCTTGTCAAAGATGTTGAATACCGGGCAGCAGAGATGGCTCCCTTTACAAGCTCCAACATGGATGACATTACCAGTTCCTGCCCCGAAGCTCGTCATGCATGTTCCTTTCAGACCTTACTAATTGATCAATCTCGGAGCGACGGTAATGGTGTGACCATAAGCCACAGAAGACCCATGGATATAAACTGTGCTCTTATGCTTGAGATCGACCATGTCGCGGAACACGATGTGGTTAAAGCTAGATTTGACTCGAGAGTCATTAAACTTTGGCTAGTGAAGAAGCTTCTAGAACGACTCGAGTTCGCCGTCTACCAGATTGACTCTGCAACCTCACAACAGACTATTTCAGACCTACATTCTATGACATCTCAGGACCTCAACCAGATATGGGAGTGGAACAACACTGTCCCTTTAGCAGCTGAGAGCTGCATCACTGATATTATTCGTGAAAGATCGCTGGAGCAACCTGATTCTACTGCTATCCATGCTTGGGATGGTGAAATATCCTACCGTGAGCTCAATCGCTTGACTAGTATACTTGCCCGTCTCCTTATCGAGCGCGGAGTTGGACCAGAGGTCTTTGTGCCTCTGTGTTTCGAGAAGTCGAAATGGACGACGATAGCTCTCCTAGGTGTGCTCAAAGCTGGTGGAGCTTTCGTTCTGCTGGACCCGCATCTTCCAGAGCTTCGTCTTCGGGCCATCATCGATCAGATCAAGCCCATGCTTGCTTTATCATCACCCTCGCAACTAGAGTTAACCAAGAGATTAATTCCAAAGACTATGAAAGTAGACTCCAGCTTATTCCCACATAACAAGGAGATCGACTTCCATCCGACTATCGACCTATCTTCAGCGGCGTACGCAATCTTCACTTCAGGGAGCACAGGCACTCCAAAGGGTGCCATTATTACCAACAGAAATGTTGCCTCAGTATCTCAGCAGATTATACCTTTAAATTTGACAAAGGAATCTAGGGTCTATGACTTTGTCTCGTATAGCTTCGGTCTCTCCCTCATCAACATGCTCCCTACTTTAGCCGCGGGAGGCTGCGTATGCGTCCCCAGCGAACAAGACCGAAAGAGCCACCTTGCATTCAGTCTGACGTCCTTAAAAGCTACTCACGTGTGGCTGACACCCTCCATCGCCGAGACACTATCTCCAGAGCAAGTTCCTACTCTGAAGATGATGGGTTTTGGCGGTGAGGCATTGAGACTAAAAGACGTCTTGTCATGGTGGGAGCGTATCGAGGTTCGCAACGGTTATGGCGCTAGCGAATGCTCGTCTCTAATATCTGTCAAATCCAATCCTTTAGACCCAGAAGATGCATGCCAGGTTGGTCCTGGTGCAGGAATAACGCCATGGGTTGTTGACCCAGAGGACCACAACAAACTGGTTCCAGTGGGCTGTATCGGCGAACTGCTTGTCGAAGGCCCGCAAATTGGTCGTGGCTACCTGGATGACCCCGAAAAGACTGCCGCTTTCTTTATCGAGAATCCGGAGTTTTTGACACAAGGCTCTTCCAAGAGGCCAGGTCGACGAGCAAGGCTTTACAAGACTGGCGATCTTGTACGATATGATGAGCATGGAAGCCTCATATGTCTCGGACGCAAGGATGTCCAAGTCAAGATACGCGGGCAGAGAGTTGAGCTTGGTGAAGTCGAGTTTCAGGTGAAGGAAGTCTTCCCAGAAGCAAGTCAGCTGGCGGCAGAAGTGATTGTGCCCCAAGGAGGCGTAGGTGAGCCAATGCTGGCAGCCTTCCTTTTGATGGAAAATGTCACTAGGGATGACCAAAACACAATAAAGGTCGAATCTACCCAGGCGACACTATTATCTGTACCGCAAGATGTTGAGAAAGTGCTGCTTGAACGTCTACCGAGCTATATGGTACCTACAATTTTCTTGGCGCTGTCTAAATTACCCCTAACGGCGACCGGAAAGACAAATCGGAGAGAGCTGCGAAATATCGGGGCCATATTTTCTATCCAACGGTTAGCAGAAATGCGGACAACTAAACAAAAAAGAAAGCCATCGACCCCGATGCAGGAGCAGATGCAGGCTATTTGGGCCATGATCCTCAACCTAGACCCTCAGAAGATCGGTCTAGACGACAATTTCTTCAAGCTCGGTGGAAATTCTGTTTCTGCCGTAAAGGTTGTTGGAGAGGCTCGCAAGACGGGTATACAAATCCTGGTGCAAGACATATTTGATCATCCCGAATTATATGCTTTGTCTTCCAGAGCACTCCGAGGAGAGGGACTAGAGGCAAAGACCATTGCTCCATTTGCTTTACTAGATCAAAATACGGATATCTCTATTTTAATGAATGATGTCTCAAGCCAATGTCATGTGGGCACTTCAGACATCCAAGACATTTATCCGTGCTCACCACTTCAAGAGGGGCTTTTTGCACTTGCTGTTACGCGTCCGGGAGACTATGTCATGCAGCTTGTCGTGGACCTGTCTCATAAGGTCGATATAAATCGCTTCCGCGAAGCCTGGCTCGAGGTAGTCCGCAATACTGCAGTTCTGAGAAGTAGGGCTATTCAACAGGACGACCTAGGTCTTTTGCAAGTAGTGTTGAACGAGGGCATTGAATGGACAACGACATCTGACCTTGAGCACTATCTACAAACTGATCGTAAAAGGATCATGCAATTCGGCGAACCGCTTACCAGATATACAATCATACAAGATGACACTAGCATATCTCGATCTTTTGTGTGGACAGTCCATCACGCCATCTACGATGGGTGGATGATTCCCCTGATAGTAGACCTTGTGAACAGAGCATATCACGGAGATGAACTAGAGCAAGGGCCTCAGTTCCAGACCTTTATCCACTATATACAGAGTCGAGACCGAGCTGATATGGAACTCTACTGGAAGCAAGCTCTTGAAGGCTCTGTCTCTACGTCATTCCCAGCACTGCCTCCTTATATTGACGAACCTTCCTCTAATGGTGTTGCTGAACAGCAGATTTCGTCGGGCACAATTCACTCCGAGTTTACAGAATCTACCATTCTTCGAGCTGCCTGGGCTCTGGTAGCAGGTCGTATGACAAACTCGGATGATGTAGTCTTTGGTGTTACCGTGTCTGGCAGAAGTACACCAGTACCTGGAATTGACAGAATGTCTGGGCCAGCCATCGCTACGGTTCCACTACGGACAAGATTCTCCGGCACTCAGGCAGCATTGGACTATCTGAAGAACGTTCAGCAACAGGCTACGGACATGATTCCATACGAGCAGATGGGATTACAGCACATTGCGAAGCTGAGCCCAGAAGCCCGTCAAGCAACCAAGTTCCAGACGCTTCTTCTCGTCCAGCCACAGGAAAACACCACTATTCGTAACGAGATAGGCAAGTGGCAGTTTGGTGATGACCAGGAGCAATGGTTTAACACTTATGCTCTCACACTTGAAGTATACCTCGACCAGGATGATCCAGGTAAAAAGATTGTCAAGGCCTTCTTTGATTCTAGAGCCATTGATTCTGAGATGGTGCAAAGACTGTTGGGGCGACTAGAGCATGTCATTCACCAGCTTGAGCGTGCGCGTCCGGGTCAGCTCCTTGACGAGATTGAGATACTAACACCCATGGACTTGGAAGAGATTTGGGGTTGGAACCATAACCTCCCTCTATCTATTGAATGCTGCGTGCATACCATGATTAAAGAACGTGCTTGTCTTCAACCATCAGCCCCTGCTATCTGTGCCTGGGACGGCGAATTGACGTATGACATGTTGAACCAACTTTCTGAGCGCCTAGCTGTCCACCTGCATGTTGATCTCGATATTGGGCCGGGAGTAATTGTTCCATTATGTTTTGAAAAGTCAATGTGGACTGCGGTGGCCATGCTTGCAGTCCTCAAGGCAGGCGGTGCGTTTGTCGCTCTGGATACATCGCTTCCAGAGTCGCGACTCCAGTCTATTACAACAAGTAGATACAACCATTATCCTGTCCTCAATTTCCAACCGTACACGGAGCTTGCAACTATGCCCACGTGTGACTACTGTTGACTCAGAATACCTTTCAAGTCTCAGTAATCCAGTAGGCGATTCTCTCCCAATAGTACCTCCCTCATCTCTCGCATACGTGGTATTTACCTCTGGTAGTACGGGAAATCCCAAAGGTGTCATGATATCGCACCAGAACATCATATCTGCAGCTCATCATCAGTCCCGAATCTATGGCATGAGTCCGCAGTCTAGAATGTATGACTTTGCATCATACAGTTTTGATCCTTACATTTCCAACGTCATCTTCACACTACATGCTGGTGGCTGTCTTTGTGTTCCCCATGAAAAGGACCGGAAAGACAATCTTGCTCAGAGTATGGAATCTTTTCAGGCCAATATAGTCGAGCTTACCCCCTCCGTCGCCCAACTTCTTGATCCATCCAGTGTCCCTAGCCTTGAATTGCTGGTGTTTGGTGGGGAAGCGCTACGAGATAACGACGTAAAGGCTTGGTGGGGAAAAGTTCGCCTTTCTAATACCTATGGGCCCAGCGAGTGTACTCCGACCGCCACGTTCAACATAGATACTCCTCAGATTCAGGATGCAACCCAAATTGGTAAAGGGGTCGGGGTTGTTACCTGGGTGGTAGATCCGAACAACCATAATGCCCTTCAAGCCCCAGGGTTTGTTGGTGAACTATTGCTAGAGGGACCTGTCGTAGGCCAAGGGTACCTGAATGATGAGGCAAAGACAGCTCAAGCCTTCATCGAGGATCCTGCTTGGTTATTACAGGGGTCAGCTACCCGACCGGGGCGCCACGGGCGCTTGTACAAGACAGGAGATCTCGTTTATTACAGCCAAGGAGGTAACTTGACTTTTGTTGGTCGTAAGGATAACCAAGTTAAAATTCGTGGACAGAGAGTGGAGCTAAGTGAAGTAGAGCACTGGGTTCACACATGTAAAGTCGGCAATGCGAAGCAGGCCGTAGCCGAAGTTCTTGTCCCAGAGGGATCAAATTCTGGACCAATCATAGCAGCCTTCTGTCAGGTAGATGGTAGCGACAGCATGGGCTCTGAGTCGCACTTTGGATCTTCGCTACTTTCTATCTCCAAGGACGTGAGCGATAAATTAGCTTCATCTCTACCTAGCTACATGATTCCGAGTGTCTTTTTCTCTATATCTGAGCTTCCCATGACCCCTACCGGCAAGCTGGACCGAATGCGTCTGCGTCTTATAGGAGAGTCATTCTCATCTCAGGAGATTTCCAAATGGAAAACAGCGGAGAGCGGTCCGAAGAGGCAGCCAACGTCTGAATTAGAACGCCAGCTGCAAAGAATATGGGCTCAAGTGCTTAGCGTCGACGCCGAGACTATTGGGCTAGACGACAGTTTCTTCCAGCTTGGAGGTGACTCGCTCGCTGCCATGAAGGTTGCAGCACAAGCTAGAAAGGTTGGCATTGAGCTTGCAGCAGCCGATATTTTCGAGCATCGCCAGTTAAGCCTCATTGCTGGTAAATGTAACTTTTCGGCCGAGGTTTTGTCAAAGGGGATACCTAGAACACAACGCGTTGGTCCTGTTCCCCAATCATTCGCCCAGGAGCGTTTGTATTTTCTCGAACAGCTACATCCTAGCCTCACATGGTACCATATGTTGTATTCGATAAGACTCCAGGGGCACTTGAAAATTGATGCCCTTGCCACTTCACTTCTAGCTCTGGAACGCCGTCATGACACACTCCGAACAACCTTTGCCTCAGAAAATGGCATTAACCTACAATCCGTCAGGCCGTTCGAACAACATGACTTTGAAGTAATTGATGTGTCGCCAAACAAAGAAGATGAGTTCCAGGAGAGGCTGAAAAAGCGCCAAATGACCCCTTTTAAACTTGAGACGGAGCCTGGCTGGAGAGTCTGTATCTTTAAGCTAAGCACAGATCTACACGTTCTTTCTATCGTAATGCATCATATTATTGCCGATGGCTGGTCTATTGATGTCCTTCGCACTGAAATAGCTGCTTTCTACGCGGCAGCTCTTCATGGGAAGGATCCGCTCTCTCAGGTAGATCCTCTCCCGATTCAATATCGAGATTATTCAGTATGGCAACGCGAAAATAGTCAACAGGTCAGCCAGCATCAGAGACAGCTAGATTACTGGGTCACACAGTTGCAAACAAGCAGACCGGCAGAAATGCTGTATGACAAGCCTAGGCCAGACACACTCTCTGGAAAGGCTGGTGTTGAGCATATCAGGATAGAAGGCTCCCTATATTCTGCCCTTACAAAGTTCTGCAACGAACGTCACGTCACACCATTCATATCTCTCCTAGCCGCCTTCCGGGCCACCCATTTCCGCCTTACTGATCAAAGGGATGCGACAGTTGGTTGTCCAAATGCTAATCGTGACCGCTGGGAGCAACGCGATATCCTAGGGTTCTTTGTCAATATGCAATGCTTCCGTATCAAGATCCAGGATCACTCTTTTGAAGACTTAGTCAATCAGGTTCAGCAAGTAGCTACGGCCTCCATGGCGAACCAGGATGTCCCTTTCGAAAAAGTTGTAGCTAAGCTTGGCAAGGATAGGGAACTATCTCGGAACCCTCTAGTACAGATGATATTCGTTGTTCATTCCCAATTGAATTTGAACCGCTTTACTCTGGAAGGGCTAGAGGCCGAGACGATACCTGCTCCGCCCGCGTCTCGCTTTGATCTCGAGTTCCATCTTTACCAAGAAGATGAAGCACTCAGTGGAGGCATTGTCTATTCAACAGAGCTCTATAACGCCGAGACTATCAGAAATTTGCTATTAATTTTCAAGCATATGCTTGGAGAGTGTCTTTCTGACCCTAGCATGGCAATTCAGTCAGTACCCCTTTTGACGAAGGCCGCCCACACAGCACTAGATCAACGAGACCTTGTCAAGACCCACCAAACAGAATATCCTAGGGACTCCGATATTGTTAGCGTCTTCCGCCGACAAGCTCTAGCCAATCCTGAGCGCGTTGCTGTCAAGGACCCTGAGCTCAAATTGACATATTCTCAACTAGATCAAAAGTCAGATATTCTTGCTCAATGGCTCTCGCAAAGATCGCTTGCTGAGGAAAGCCTTGTTGGTGTATTTGCCAGTCGATCCTGTCACACGATTATCGCCATCCTAGGTATTCTCAAGGCTAGGCTAGCATATTTACCATTCGACATCAAGATTCCACCAGGTCGGATGCAAGCTATTCTGGAATCAGTGCCTAACTGCAAGCTAGTACTCTGCGGTGTAGATACGCCCGCTATCGATGGCCTTGATAATGTTGAGTTGGTTCCCATCAAAGAAGCGCTAGCGCCGCATAGTCGAGCTCACGAGACCATCCTCCAACATCCTTCACCATCCAGTCTCGCCTATGTCATGTTTACGTCGGGGTCGACTGGCCAGCCAAAAGGTGTAATGATGATAGCACCGTAGTATATTACGGTTGACGAAAGAAAATTCATTAGTTGCTCAGGTTCCGGAGCATGGAATCATAGGCCACATATCAAATGTTGCTTTCGATGCTTCGACATGGGAGATCTACACAGCCCTACTCAATGGTAGCACTCTTATTTGCATTGATACTGATACACTCTTAGACTACACGGCTGTATCAAGGGTATTCTCACAAGAGGCAATTCAGGCAATATTCATCACGCCGGCTTTGCTGAAGCAATACCTCTCTCAATGTCCGAACATTGTTCGAAGACTTCGTGTACTCATGGTTGGAGGGGACCGTCTTGATCCCGAGGATATCCATAAAGCGCAGAATTATATGAAAAATGGCAAAATTATCAATGGTTATGGACCAACGGAGAACACAACCTTTAGCACAACCTATTGTGTTCATGATGGAGAAATCTTCACCAATGGCGTCCCTATAGGCCAAGCGTTTGATAACTCGGGAGCATACGTCATGGATCATCTGCAACGTCTAGTGCCAATAGGGGTCATCGGCGAGCTAGTCGTAACAGGAGATGGCCTAGCCCGCGGATATACTGATCCTCAGCGGAACGTAGATCGGTTCATTACTATTACTGTTGACGGACAGACTGTTCGCGCCTATCGAACTGGAGACTACGTGCGCCACCGTCTGAGCGACGGCAAACTGGAGTTCTATGGACGAATTGATGGCCAGACTAAAATCCGCGGCCAGCGCATTGAAGTAGGAGAAATTGAACACTGCTTGCGCCGGCACCCCTCTGTCCATGATGCAGTGGCTGTCATACAAGAGAATTCTAAACATGAAGCGCATATCGCGAGCTTCATTACAATTCGCGTAGATGAAGGAGGCAGCGGAGATAAAATTGAAGAGAGTACTGGGGATGTCGTCGAGTCTAAGCATGTTGGGGTGTGGGAGGACCGTTTCAACGACGAAACCTATGCTCCCATGGACAACATACAAGGCGAATCCCTTGGGAGAGATTTCGTGGGCTGGACCTCCATGTACGATGGAAGCGACATTGACAAAAGGGAGATGAACGAATGGCTGGATGAAACTATAGGCGCCTTACTCAACGGCCGGGCACCTGGTGATGTGCTTGAAATAGGGACAGGCTCTGGTATGATCCTCTTCAACTTAGGTCAAGGGCTCCGAAGCTATGTTGGATTGGATCCATCTCAGCGGGCTGTCGATTTTGTCGCCAATGCTTCTAGGTCCATACCCGGATTGGCAGGGAAGATTCGCATGTTTAAAGCCACTGCCGCAGAGCTCGGTCAGCTGAAAGGGCCTATATCCCCTAACCTAGTCGTTATCAACTCAGTCGCCCAATATTTCCCAAGCCAAGAATATCTCTTCAAAATGGTAGAAGATGTCTTGAGACTAGATAGTGTCGAGACTATCTTTTTTGGAGATATGCGGTCCCACGCTTTATACCAAGAATTCTTAGCCAGTAGAGCCTTGTTCATGCTTGGAAATGATGCTCGCGCGGATGATGTTAAACGGATGATGGCCAAGATGGAAGAGATTGAACTGGAATTCCTCGTGGAGCCAGCATTCTTCACAGCCATGAAAGACCGACTGCCAGAATTGATAGAGCACGTGGAGATTCTTCCCAAGAGAATGAAAGCAACTAACGAACTCAGCTGCTATAGATATGCTGCAGTGGTCCATGCCAAGCCTCGAGGGAAACATACTAGCCAGCTCATCCATGAGATTCCTAAGGATAGTTGGAGGGATTTTATGAGTATGGATCTAGACCAGGTGTCATTGACCGATCTCTTACAACGTCACTCAAGTGAAGAAGTCATTGCCGTTGGCAACATCCCTTATAGCAAAACTATATTTGAGAGATATCTTGTCGACTCGGTCAGCGGTGGCAAAAAATCGAGGATTGATGGCGCAGACTGGCTACAGGATGTGCGTCAGAAAGCCAAGGCCTGTCCCACATTATCGTCCGTTGATTTACTCGACGTCGCTCAGAAGGCAGGGTACCGAGTCGAAATCAGCTGGGCGCGGCAATACTCTCAACGCGGCGGTATCGATGCAGTATTCCACCGCTATCAGCCTGAAAATGGGAAGCGCGTCATGTTCCAATTCCCTACGGATCACACCGGCCGGCGATTGCAGGCAATGAGTAGCAAGCCCCTTAAGCAACAGATGTCTGAGACTATACAACGAGAACTCCAGGACTTGCTGCAAGCTCATTTACCATCGTACATGGTTCCTCGCCTAATAACTATCCTAGATGAAATACCAATCAACGAAAATGGTAAAGTCGATCGCAAGGCTCTCTCAAATAAGCGACAAATGGACACATTCCGAGGCCCAGTGCGACAACCTACCACAGAATCGGAACGTCAAATCCAGGCTATTTGGGCCGAGGTCCTAAACGTCGAACTGACTACGATTGGAGTAGATGACAGTTTCTTCCAACTTGGAGGTAACTCTATTGCTGCAATGAAGGTCGTTGCTGAGGCGCGTGATGTAGGCCTGCAAATGGTTGTGGCGGACATCTTCCGCTGCCCCCGGCTCTACCAACTGGCGGAGCAGGCCTCAGAATTACGAGATGCCGATGACTCTCTTGTATCCATGTCTCAAATAGAAAAGGCCGGGCCTATTGAGCAGTCCTTTTCCCAACAACAACTGTGGTTTCTAGAGCAGTTGTATCCTGGTTTGACCTGGTATCTCATGCCCCGCGCACTGCGTATTCGGGGACCTCTTCAACTTGATTCGCTTAAAGCAGCTCTTCTCGCCGTCGAGAGTCGCCACGAGACTCTCCGGACGACCTTTGCAACAACTGACGACAATGTCAGCATTCAAGAGGTACATCCTATGAAGTCAAAAGATCTAAGGATAGTGGATATTCAACCAGGAGAAAAGGGGAACCTCGACAAGGTATTAGAGATCGACCATAATACGCCATTCGATCTTACCAAAGAGCCTGGATGGAGGGTGACAGTATTTCGGCTAAGCAGAGAGGAGCATATCCTATCAATCGTCATGCATCACATCATATCTGATGGTTGGTCCGTTGATGTGCTTTGCAAAGAACTTGCAGCTTGCTATTCTGCTTCGGTACGCGGCCATGATCCCCTATCTCAATTAAGCCCTCTACCAATTCAATACAAGGACTATTCTGTCTGGCAAAGACGTCGACAGCAAGAGAACAAGGGTAAACAACTCCAGTATTGGGTTAAGCAACTTGAGACAAGTCGACCAGCTGAGCTTCTCTGTGACAAGGTCCGACCCGCCACTTTGTCGGGACATGCAAGGACGGAAAGATTCAAGATTGAAGGGAGACTTTATGATAGGTTGCAAAGCCTTTGCGCCAAGTACGACGCGACGCCGTATATCATACTTCTTACGGTGTTTAGACTGACACACTATTATCTAACCGGTCAAACTGATGCTACTATTGGCACACCGTTTGCCAATCGAGATCAATATGAGGTTAAAGACCTTATTGGCTTTTTTGTCAACATGCAGTGCTTCCGCATTATGATTGAAGACGACGACACGTTTGAAGGCTTGATCCACCAGGTTCGGTCGGTAGTAACAGGAGGCCTCGAAAACAAAGATGTCCCCTTTATGAGCATCATATCTGAGCTTCAGAAGCCTCGAGACTTGTCGCGACATCCGCTAGTCCAGTTACTCTTTGCAGTCCATTCGCAGCTTGACCTAGGGATACTTGAGCTCGAGGGCGTCGACATTGAAATTCTAGAGGGCGAAACTACTTCAATGTGCGACATTGAGTTTCACATTTACCAGGAGCAAAACGGCCTTCGGGGTGAAGTTGTATACTCGACAGATCTGTTCGTTCGTGAATCAATTTCCAACATGATCTCCGTATTTCAGAATCTTCTTGAGAAAGGCCTTGGAAACCCAGAAACTCCCCTAACAGACATGCCGTACCTGACCGACGAAGACTACAGCAATCTTGAGGACATGGGTCTATTCGAACCACACCGTACTGCCTACCCCCGAGAATCTAGCATAACGGATATTTTCAAGAACCAAGTCGCAGAATGTTCTTCCAAGGTAGCAGTCCGAGATTCTGCAGCAGAATTAACGTATTCACAGCTAGATACGCTTTCTGACAAGTTGGCTGCATGGCTGTCTACGCATTCACTTGAGCCTGAGTCGATGGTTGGCGTGTTTGCAAGCAGGAGCTGTCAAACGATCGTTGCATTCTTGGGTATTCTAAAAGCCGGACTTGCCTACGTGCCCTTCGATGTCAATACACCTAAGGGTCGTGTCGAATCTATCCTTTCGTCGATACCTGGACGTACTATTGTTCTCATGGGCGAGAACACTCAGCTGCCATCAATTCGGCTCCAGAATGTCAAATTCGCGGCAATTACAGATGTTCTTAATGGGCACCTACAAAGTGGCACAGCTATAAAATCTAAATCCCGGTATCACGCACCTTCAGCTACGAGTCTTGCCTACGTAATGTTCACGTCAGGCTCAACGGGTAAACCGAAAGGTGTCATGGTACCTCATCGAGGTATAGTCCGACTGGTCAAGGAGAGCAATATGGCCAAGTACCTATCTCCCACGGGTCCGAACATGGCGCACTTGACGAACACTGCATTCGACGTCATCTTGGGAGATATATGGCGCTCTTCTAAATGGAGGAACCATTACTTGCATTGATCATATGACGTTGTTGGAACAAAAAGACTTAAGCGATCTCTTTGCCTACAACAGAATTCAAAGTGCCATATTTACCCCTGCTCTTCTCAAGCAGACACTACTTCAATCGCCCTCAACCATAAGTATCTTAGACTCTCTCTTTGTTGCAGGCGAGCGAGCCGACATACAGGACTTATATACAGCGCAAAAACTTATGCAACAAAACTCTTCAGGAGCCAAGGTCATCAACGCATACGGGCCCACGGAGAACTCTGTAATTAGTACTTTGTATTGTCTGACTGAGGATGACGAGGCTTTCCCCAACGGAGTGCCTATCGGGAGATCAATTAGCAATTCGGGAGCTTACGTACTAGATTCTCAACAGCGTCTCGTACCTTTGGGCGTAGTTGGGGAACTTGTTGTGACCGGCGATGGTCTAGCAAGAGGTTACACCGATCCTCAGCGCAATGTCGATCGCTTCATCAAAATTTCCATCAACGGAATAGAGATGGAGGCTTATCGCACCGGCGATTATGTTCGGGCAAGGCCAACCGACGGGTTGCTGGAATACTTTGGGCGGATTGATGGTCAGGTCAAAATCAGAGGATACCGCGTGGAGCTGGGCGAGATTGAGCACACTCTACGTGATCACGACTTGGTAGATGAGGCAGTCGTGGTGCTACAACAAGGGGCTAATGGCGAGGTGCGCCTTGTTGGTTTCATCACAGTGTCCTCCAAAGCGACCAAGGGGTTCGATAAAAACACGGGAATCGACATCATGCAAAATATTGAAGAGAAACTCTCCAGCAAGCTACGAGCAAATCTACCCCCATATATGGTACCGCAATTAATAACCGTCTTGGAGAGACTGCCCATCAATGACAACGGCAAAGTCGACCGTCAGGCATTGACGAATATGTCTGCAACCCCGTCAGGAAATGGAAAAACAGATTCACGATCACCAACTTCAGAAATAGAGAAGCAGCTGCAGGGGATTTGGGCGCGGGTGCTCCAACGAGATGAAAAGACAATTGGACTTGACGATAGCTTCTTCCAACTCGGAGGCAACTCAATCACTGCGATGAAGGTCGTTGCCGAGGCACGCAAGATCGGCATCCGACTCGCAGTAGCTGACATCTTTCTCCGTGAGACGTTGGAAGATCTAGCCGCATGCAAACGAGAAGCGGATGATAAAAAAGCCACTGAAGAGCTCACGGCTGGTGGTCTTATTGATAGTAAAGTCAAAGCCAAACTACTACATGAGGCCGATTCAGTTGAGGGTAGTCTACATGCGCGGAACATCGAAGATGTCCTGCCCCTCACCAGCTTCCAGGAGAAATGCGTCGTTGAAGGGATAAGCAGCGGCCAGTTCTGCAACTACTTCTACCTTGACCTCGGAGACCATCTGGATATTGAGCGTTTTGAGAGGAGCTGCGAGACGGCCATTGAGAAGCTTCCTATCCTCCGTGCGTGCTTCTTAAAGCTCATGGGGTCGTTTTGGAGAGTCACTCTTCGTATATTAGATCGGCCTCTGCGCATCGTCAAGGTTGAAGAAGACCTAGACACGTCATTTAAGACTTTCTGTCTACAGGACATTCCGGCATGCTCACACATCCAACCGGCTCTTGCTCTTGTTCTCCTCCGTCATAAATCTCAAGGTCTTCGGCTCATTATTCGCATGTCCCACGGCCAGTACGACGGCCTTAGTTTACCCCTAATTGTCGAGGCGCTTTTCGCGCAATACCAAAACAAGCCAACTGCAGAGGGCCCAAGCTTCTCAAAATTCCTGTCATATTCATCAGCCAAGCGCCAACAGTCATCCCAGTACTGGAAGAACCTCTTAGAAGGATCGGATCTCACAACCCTCAAGCATGTCCAGCCTAGCCTCCTTGCGCCGTGTCTTCAAGACCCTCGACCCAGGGGCATCCAAGTTTCAGCAGACACCAAGCCGTTGAAGCTGTCTGGAAAGACTACCCACGCAACCCTTGCCAGTGCGGCGTGGGCATTGCTCCTCTCTTGCATAACAGGCAACGATGACGTGGTCTACGGCCACTTGATTTCCGGTCGCAACTCTGCCATTGATAGCATAGAGCAGATGATAGGCACATTCGTCAACATTATCCCAGTCCGCGTCAAGCTGCCTACCGCCTCGACTTCAAAAGACTTGCTCCGCTACGTTCAAGATCAATTTATCAGGCTTGGAGAGGCAGACTCTCTTGGGTTCAAGGATATCATGAGAAACTGCACCAACTGGAAGGATAGCAAAGACTTCGACTTCGTGATTCAACACCAAAACGTGGACGAAAATCCAGGCTTCCAAGTTGCCGGAGTCGAGACCGAGTTACAATACTTCCTAACCCTGATCGCTTGCCGCCTTGGAAGGTGTTCATGGTGTCATATCCACAGGGCAGCAAGCTTCATGTCAAGCTATCTACCAATAACCACGTGATGAACCGTGAAACGGCCAAGATTTTGGTTGATAAAGTTGTGATAATTATGGAGAAGCTAGCCGCAGATATAAACATCCATTTGGGCTCTTATATAAGTGAGATCCAGTTGAGCTTGCTTTAAAGCGTTCAGGTTAACAAAAGCGAGACATGGTTTATGATGCCCGAGTTTACGAGGGATATTGTCTAGGGGACTTTTTTACGAAATAGGATAACACTTATAGTTTATTCGGTCAATAATTAGAAGGCACTTGGGCTGCATATTTGTCAGGTTCTTATCATAGTATATTTTCGTGCATTTATAAGAGGTATGTAGTGAACATTCAGAAGTACAAATACAAATCCACAGCAATTTTGTTATCGATTCCGAGCATGCCGATTCATAATTCCTCCGTTTTCTATAATACCTGATACCTAAAATTATTGGCACATCCGAATGGGTGAATCAGTACCTTACCTTCCACGTCACCTTGAAAATAGGGGTGGTCGTTTTCTAGGCTTAAAGCCACAAATTCCTAGTACCCATGATCATATCACAGGTGCTTCAGTACCTAATGAATGGATTCTGATCCCTAATAGAGCGATCCTACCGTAATATTGAGTCTGGAAGTATACGCCCCGTACCTTAAGGGTACCCAGGAGGTACATAATATATGTACTCTATACAAATCTATACCTGCTCCTAGCAACTAAACTTTCTAACATATAAGAAGAATACTCATCACCTAAGTCTATTTCAACAGATTTGTTCTAAAATTCGTCTTCATTTCCGACGACGACCATCCCAAATTGTCACGTGACTTTTACACCGTATTTTCATCCCCCCCCCTTTTGATTTCTTCCTTCAGAGTTCTTCTCTTCTTTCGCATTTTCACTCGGCATCGAAATACTACACATAGGTGGTATATACTGACGCTTGAATTCACATCACGATAACCACACTCCTATCATAAAAAAATGCCACCCGGCGCCGGCGCTGTTGTACAGATCCTTGACGATATTCTCAGGGCCCGCATGTTGAACGAACGTGACAAGTTTATCGCGTCAATTTCAAAAGACCAGATATGTAAATTGGCATCATCATATCGTGGCAATGAGCCCTGCCACCACTTCACTGAGCCCAAACGAGGCAGCTACAACATATGCTTTTTTGTTGCCTTTGATGATGGAGAGAAGTGGGTAGTGCGCGTCCCTCTTGCGCCTTGTTTGTCATTCGAGCCAAAGAGCAAGATTGAAAGCGAGGTCGCTACAATGCAGTATGTTTCCGCCCTCGATATCATTTCTTAATATACCTATTTTGCTGCATCAGATTAACATTGGCAGGGTTGTGTCTGAAAGAACGGATATCCCAATCCCGAAAATCGTGGGGTATCAGTTAGGTGAAGGCTCGGAACCGCTATCGGGTTCAAGGTGTCCAAAATGGTCATGTCGATCGATATCAACACGCAGGCGAAAGAAGGATTCGATCCATACACCATACGGGACTCTTTCTATGGTAATCGAAACATATTAACGTCTACCAACCTCTACACGTCGATGCTCCTAGACCTTGCTGATAACGCATTCGCTAAAAGTCGAAACAGCGTAACCGAAAGCGAGTATGATGGTGCTGACCGATTGTATCAGCTCCACCTCTTTCGCAGGCATGTTAAGAAATGGTTAGATCCTTCCCTTGACGAAGGTCCATTTGTTTTGATCCATGGTGATCTTCAGCCTTATAACTTGATTGTCAACGAGGAGATGGAAGTCACCTCTGTTTTGGACTGGGAATGGAGTCGTATCGTACCCCGACAATTCTTCAAGCCACCCCTCTGGCTTTCTAACCATATACCTCCAACGCTAGCCTTCGCCTTAGTCTACAAATCACTGTACCTCAAGTCCTTTGACAAATTCCTTGCCATAACGAGAACGCTAGAGCAGGATATGTACGGCAATGAGCTACTATCAAACGAGTGGACAACGGAAAAATCAGACAGAGGGTTCCTTATATCCAACGCCCTAGAGAGTTGGACAGAGATAGACTATTTCGCTAGCCGATATCTCGACGACATATATACTACCAGAATAAGAACTTGCAGGAGCGTGTATGGGCATTTATAGATGACAACCCGCACCTCAGAACTTTCATCAAGAAGAAATTAGAGGAGGCTGGCTTTCATGAAGGAGTTGGAAGAGATGTAGCAATAAAATTGTTGAATACGGAGAGCTACTCCCTATATTTTGTTGGTATCATTTAAATTATTTGTAATATTGAATGAGTATGTATCTAATCTATCAAGCCAAGTGCCTATCTTAGGCAGAATATCAGCCTCCAGGGTTATCGAATTCTGTCTTTAAATATGGATGTGCAACTAGTCTAGTAAAGGAGAGATGAAAAGTTGCAGAACGAGCGTGAGAAAGACAGTCCACGTTCTTTAAAGTACCTTTCAACCACGTTATGAGTCGCCAAAATGTCAACATAGCCCTTTACGTTAATGCGATACTTTTTCTCAGGAATAGGGGCTATCGTGTACTCCTTACTTATCTTCCAAGTTGGGGAATAGTTCTCGTAGTTCCTTTAGTTCCTTCTCGATATCATCCATTTTGGTTTTGATGTCTTCGATTTCGGATTTGGCATCTTCAATGGTCTTTTGGAAATTACTGCTGGTTGGTTGCCCATTCTTCCTGTGCATTCTTGAACTGTCCGAAGATGAAGTCAATTGCTTTTGGGCTTTCTCGTCGATAGACGCTTGTAGTTCGGCCTGGACAACCTCGGCATCTTCAAGTTCTTTTTTTAGGCTACTGTAGAGTTACAATTTCTCCTCCAACTCTTTTTTCGCCTTGTCACTAATTTGGGACATATTGTAGACTTTTGTTGGATAGTCCGTACGTATAAAGAAGGGAAGAGCAAAAATGTATAATTTATAGGGATGTGACTGAGAGATGGCTTTGTTCAGTTTGATTCGTAAATGACGATGAGATTATAAGACTTAGTCCGAAGAATACGATGACCTTTTATATTCAGAAATCTTGTACAAATTGCTTCGTAGAATATCTAGTAGGTATCGATATTGACATTAAATGGCATGTACAAAGAGTCGAATTGCATACCTACTTTTGAGGTATAGGTATTACACCCTTTGTGGTGGCGAGATAGGATTTATGTCGGCAACCAGGAATGGTAATATTAATACAGTATCTTCCTAAGTTCGACGCTGTTGGAAGTAACTTCGCCATCAATATTGTCTATGATTGATGCAAAATATATTAACTTACATACTTAAACTACATACTTACATTAGCGCGTAAGAATCCAAACCGGAAAACTAGGCTTTGACGATCATTTCCTGACTGTCATTCGCTGCTTAACACGATCCGTGAATACTTCTCTCTCCTTACCACTAGTAATTAAAGGTATTTACCATAATAGTTTAGTAATGATCCTTCTTTAACTCTGATTTTAAATCTTGATAGCAACCCCCCACGTCTCAAGTCACAGCTGCCCCGTAAATACGAGGAGCATCCCTAATACGAGGTCAGAGTCTCGGATTTGTCACGATTCTCGATAAGACAAATTTTAATTCTAGTTGAGACTTCATAAAATTACTTTTATACAGCTCGGGTGGTCGAATATGATACGAAAGTGCTTATTTTGGTGGACAGCATTTTCCGGTCTTAATTAAAATAGAAACCAGAGTAGATGCGCCGAAACCGTCCTGAGTGTAATGTTACATATATCTCGACTTTAAAGTACCTGTTATGAAATTTCCTAGCAACACTGCCTAATTCTGCTTCTATTGATTTGATTTGGTATTTGATAGCTGAAACACGCACTGTTGCGGGATCGAACTGCTTGGAGTAGTTGGTGTCTTCATTGTCAACCCATATTCCAACACCAGACTCCCTTTAATTGAGTGGTTGCTACTGACGGCAAGTTATAAATCGTATACCTAGAAGGTAAGAAAGTGGTGGATAGGATACTACCCTGCGCTAAGATCCGAATGCACAGTAATGTGATAAAATGAGAAAAGTTCGGAGTTACCAGAGATTGTGATAACTTCGTATATCAGCATAATGTTTAGTTATTCATAGCACTGGTTGGTAATCGATGGAAGAGATATAACGATACATCAGTATTGTAGAGATTTGGTACTCGTGTCAATAAAAATGTCATTCGACCGCTAGACTCATTTGAGACACATTCAAACTGGATCTTAGACTTCGGATTCCTTAAAGGTCCCTAAGTTCAGGTATAGTTAGGTACCTAATATATCAAAATAAAAATATATACATGATTCCTCTAACGCCACTCCTTGATGCAATGCTTATATGATTCATGCTCCAATATTTTAGATAATAGAAAAAATCATTCGTCTTCGAAGTCTTCTTCGGCAACCTAGAATACGTTAGAAAAGTGTAATAATAACTGGTGTGATGTATTAACTTACGTTGTTCGTGGAAATCCTGCCCTCCCTTGGTAGCTACGATGACACCTACTCGAATACAGAAGTCGCCAAAGTGCTCGCCTTCCTCGCGTTCCAATGCATAACGCTTTAGTAATGGCTTCATTATAGCCAATATTTCATCTTCCTTGATGCTTGATCGGTATAGCTTATTCAACCGCTGCCCATGGTATCCACCACCTAGGTACATATTATAGGCACCATAGGCTTTGCCAACGAAGGCAACCTCTGCCAGCCAGGGTCGAGCACAGCCGTTCGGGCACCCTGTCATTCGCATGACAATTGACTCCTTTCCTAGCCCGTTCTCCTCGAGGCAACCCTCAAGTTTAGTGATGAGTTCGGGTAGGTAACGCTCACTTTCAGCCATAGCGAGACCACAAGTAGGGAATGCGACACAGGCCGAGGAGCTGAGACGCAGTCCAGAGAACTGAACATTGTCTAACTTATACTTCTTTAGAAGTTCCTTCATCTGCGGAAGATCTTCGTCTGTAACGTTACTGAGGATCAAGTGCTGATTTCCCGTCAATCTGAACTCGCCCTTGTGGACCTTGGCGATTTCGCGCAAACCAGTCTTCATCTGGAAATCAGCAGTGTTCTCGATTCGGCCGTTTTCGATAAAGAATGTGAAATGGTTCATGCCAGTCTCATCTTTTAGCCAGCCGAATGTATCAACGTTACTCTTAAAGTGGAATTGACGTTCTGGCTCGAATGACTTGCCCCATAGGGCCTCGACTTTAGAGCGGAAGACGTCGACGCCGAGATCGTCGATCGTATACTTTAGTCGAGCATGCTTTCGGTTCTTGCGATCACCATGATCCCTCTGCACTAACATAATCTTCTCACAGGCAATATGAATTTCATCAGTCTTGACGAAGCCCATCATACGACCGGTCTGGGGATAGGTCTTCTTGTTATTGTGGGTTGCACCCATTCCTCCTCCGGCAAGAACGTTGAAACCTTCTAACTGGCCATCGTCACCTTTAATAGCAATAAGGCCTACATCATGAGCATAAACATCCGTATCGTTGTGCGGTGGAATGGCGATTGTGATCTTAAACTTTCGAGGGAGATATGTAGGTCCGTAGAGAGGTTCGAAGTCCTGGACTGCGTTACCAGCAACCTGCGTCTTCTCGTTATTGTCATCAGTAAGCCAGATCTCGTGATACGCAGTAGTAGAAGGTAGAAGGTGGTCGCTAATCGTCTTCGAGCAAGCCCAGACTTGCTTGTGGTACTGGGACTGAGTAGGTAGAGAACTGCACATGACGTTCCTATTGACATCGCCGCAGGCAGCAATGGTCGTCATTAGAGACCTGTTTATAGCTTGCATGGCCGGCTTAAGCTTTCCTTTCACCACGCCGTGGAATTGGAATGTTTGTCTTGTAGTGAGCTTCATGGTCTCGTTTCCGAGACTCGTGCTAATGTCATCCATCTGGATCCATTGCTTTGGTGTAGACACGCCACCGGGCAATCTACAACGGATCATGAACGAATAGGCAGGCTCCAACCCCTGGGTTTTTCGCTCATCACGAATATCTCGGTCGTCTTGCATATACGTGCCGTGGAACTTTGTAAGCTGCTGATCGGAAGCAGAGATAGCTCCAGTAGTAGTATCTCTCAAACCTTCTACGATAGTACCTCTGAGATAGTTTGAAGCTAACTTGATATCCTCGTTTGTTAAGGGTGCTGGTTCCTCTGGTAAACCTTCAACATTTGCAACACCGAGTGCTTGCCATATTTGGGGTTCCCAGAGCGCATATCCAGTCTGGTATCCATCGGGATCTTGGTCATCGCCTAGTCCTACTTCAGAGAGTTTCTTGGCGCCAAAATTCGCGAATATTCTATCAAGGTCTTTGGCAGGCTTGTTGTAGTAAACTCTATCTTCTTTTCGTGGCCAATAATGCTTGTCTCCGAGACCGAAAATCGAATAGTTTACTGACGCGAGGTCTAGATCGGTATTATCTTTGATAGCATCCCAGAAAGGCTTGCCGTTCTGTGGGAATTCTCCTTGGCCAGCTGTAGAAGTGATAAGCACAATGTTTTCTTCTTTTGGTAAATCTTCAACGGGGTAATCCTCCATCGCCATCACAATAGTCTTTAGGCCCCTGGCGCGACCTCTGGTCCCAAGACGCTTGGCCAACGACTGCGCATTTCCATTGTCAGAGGCAAATAGAATTGTAAGAGGTGCGCCGAAGAGACCTTCTAAAAGCTGATTGTACGCATCTCGAGCCTTTCGCTTTTGCTGCGCGCGAACTTCTGTGCCAAAATCCTGAGATAAACTTGCAGCAAATACTGGTTCACGCCTCATCAATTGAGTTAGTTTATTATCTCTTGCCAAAAACTCTTTCAGCTCGTTCTTAACCCGCTCGGAATCCAGAGAGAAGTTAGGTTCTCCCTTATTTTCGTTCTCGGGGTTCCACCGGTACAGAGGCCAGTAGCCGAGGTCTACTGCTTTCTTAGTCTCTTGTAGAACGGTCAATGGAGAGTCGTGCTCGCCAAAGTATGGCAGGTAAGCAAGTACAACTGAAGGACCATTGAATTTATCGGCTTCTAGCATAGCTTGAAGGACTTGGGTATATGAGCTGTAGACAGCAGTTGATGCAACGTAGGCATTACCAAAGTTCATAGCATATAGACCGATATCCTTCTTTCGCCTCTCGG